TAAAAATTTAATAAATCCCCGTCCGTCCCTGTCTAAATTTTAGTATTGACGACTATTTTTTATCATCAACATAATTTTGATGCTAACCTTATATTATCAAATGAGTTCAAAATTTGATCAATCGTTTTTCCCTTAATAATAAACGAAACATAAGTTTGAACTACTGGTATCATCATAATCGCTAGCCAAAATGTACAATGATTTATCAGTATGGATGGTGGTTAACAGTGAATACAGGACGAGCGTTTTATCTTAATTGAGAGTATTCAGCTGGATGTACCGCTAGACTTTATACATCTCTGCTTATAATGCTTGTAACTTGAGGCGATCCGCACAGGATGCACATATACCAAAAAGTGACTGATCTATTACAGTCCCTTGATCTGAAGAATAGCTTTGAAATTACACAAAAGATTGATAGCTTCAATGTTTACGATAATTTATGGTATCCTTTAACGTTTCATCTCTCCACGAAAATTACTCTGGGAGAAATATCCTGAACTACTTCCTTTCCCAATAAGTGAGTTAAAATAGCTCCTATTTATGTGTACCAAAACTACATAATTTCAGTCCACAAATGCGTTGTACGGCCAAGTTGATGGAGTAACCATGGGTAGCCTCTTGGGTCAAATTCTGGATGATATATTTATGGGGAACCCGGAACAAACAATGCTTAAACACTTAATCGAAGGAACTACACTCCATTGTAGATATACTGATAACAGATTTTTGTCTATAACAATCAGAAGGACTCTATGTACCTACAGGACCTGTTTAACAGAGCACACAATGATCTAGATTTTACTAAGGAACATGAAGTAAAAGGTAGATTCTAATGCTTTGATGTTTGAATCAAGTGACCTTCAGACGGCAAACTACAAAGGCACATTCATTTAAAAAATAAATGAGGTAGAGTTTATCTAAACCACTACAGCTTCTGTCTAAATAGTTACAAAAGGGAATTGTATAAATTCCTTTAGAGTGCATTCGTAAACTTTACTAAAAAGAAAGCCTGGAAGAAGAAATTGACTTCATTACAACTTACCTACGTGAAAATGCATATCCAGCGAAATTTGTGGAGAATATTCTAAAATCAACGTACACCTTAATACAGTGAAAAAGAAAACCTGTTTCTTATGTCCGCGCTTCAAAGGAGATTAAATTAGTGGAATTATTAACCACAGGATAAATGCCAAGATGCAGGTTGCTTATCCTTCAACAAGACTGATATGTTATACGAAACAAACTACTCAGTCAAACAAAGAAAAACTAAAAGGTCTTCTTTTTTCAGTACATCCAATTGCATTTACCACTTTGCATGTACGTGTGAAATCACATACCTTGAAAAAACAGAGAAAACAGTACATGTTCATATTTCTGAGTACCTTTCGATGAATTTCAGACTGAGAGGCCCAACGGCTCTAAATAATCTGATGGCCTGGCATTTAACTGATATTGGGCATACCATTGATAATTCATAATTCTTCACAATTATTAGCCAACAAAAAACAGCGTCTCTGCAGTTTGTCGAAGTAGTAGCGATAAGGAAACTCAAATTTGATTTATGTATCCAGAAAAACATAGTGACCAACTTGTTACTACCTCGGTAAATTATTATTTTTGTTCTTGTCATTGTTATCATTATTATTGTCATCACCATTTTATTAGTGTTTATTTTGTTATGTGAACTTTGTCAAACCAATTCTTATTTTGTGAACACGAAGATAATCCCATCATCCATCGGTTTTTTAATCAACTAATTCTCGAAACTTACGTAAACTCCCGCAATATCTCACTTCATAGCTAGTTTGGTTGTTTTCAATAAATTGTAATTCAACTTGTTTTTCCTTAATTCAATTTATGTATACTGTAATCCCATTCTTAATTAATTTAATTTAAATAACAATAAGAAAGAATATGGATTTTAATCATTTATATAATCTGTTGTCCAAGCTTTATTTACTTCTTAATTAAATGAACATAATGGTCTGTATCAGAGATTTTGCCACAATTTTTAAGATTTGGATCGAAAAAATGAAATAATTTTGCAGATCATATCATGAATTGACTTTATCTAGACAATCAATGAATAGCGGTTTTATCTTATTATGAGTCCTCAGTAATCCCTATAAACGAGCCAGAGAGAGGTATAACTAGGACCTACAGACCTCATAAGAAATCTATTTAGTTTAAACCACTAATTTTTGATTAAACGGTTTACATTTCTAAATTTAATGAATTAGCTCTATCGTGCATCGCCTGTCAGTCGGTAGGCCAATCTAAACCTTAACATGTGTAAAATGAATTCAGACTTCAATACTACTGAAAATTGATGACATTACACGATGGGTCCACAAATTAAACATATGTAGTAGTTGTTATTAATAATATAAATATATTTTGATTTTTTACCATAAATCTGGATGTTTTCAACCATTAGTACTACGAATTAAAATAATAGTTTAGTCAACATTAGTTAAAATGTTTTGTTGCACATAGAAAATTCAAACAAAATTGGTCACAAGTTGAATAAAATTGTCTCTGAATAGCTCTAGTAAACTGTTTCCAAGATAATCCACACTGCTTAAATTAGTACTTCATGTGAGGTTAGATTTTGTCCTTAGTGAAGCTCAAGCTAGAGACATGCCTAATGTTTTTTATGAGAAATGGCATATAAACGATCAATTTGATTTCCGAAAACGTTCAAACTCACACTACCCTATAGCTTCATGTAGTTTTCTGTCAAGCATATATCATATTGATTTAGACCACCACTCTACAAATATTTTGAACCTGTTTAACAGTATATCAGTTTTGACGAGGTTCTTACAATCAAATGTCAGTTATCATTGCGTTCATACTAACGTTAACACCATGGATCATAAATCAATGCTTAACATACGTGTGGAAAAGAGAAAATACTTCTCTCACTGAAAATTTTGAGAAATATCTAGTTGTAAATATGCCGTTCGGCAATGAGAATTTGTTTTCTGCTTGGCGAACAAAGATATCAATTTAGAAGTTGTTTACTTACTATCATTCAGTAGTTTGCAATAAATAAAAAAATTATTAGTAGCTTTTGCGTGTACCCGTATAGCTTACACAACACATAATTATCACTGCGTAAATAACCAGCAACATGTTCAAAATGAAATATTTCCTTTAACCTGAGATTCTGAAAATGGATAACTGAACTTGCCTCTTATATTGTTCGCTACTCAAATACTGCTTGACACGAATATATCAATCATAGTTACATATTTTATTTTAACACATAAATATTAGTACAAGGTGGCACCAAATACAAATGAGCCACACAAGTCAATTGATTCGTGTGTGCACAGTGATATTATCAAGATGGCCAAACCGACACAGGTGGTTTCCTTACCGGACCACACTCAGAGACTTTGACGTGAAGGTCTGATCCACAAGGCAGTGGAGTAACGTCAGGAGATGCAGTCCCCTGATAGCTGGTGATCAATAATTCGTTCATACACCTTTTGTTTCCTCAAGTCCATGGAGGTCATGTGTACCATTGGTTTGGAATCAGGGTTTTCCAACTCCCCTCGGTGGATCCTTCATATCCACTAACCCGGTTAACGCTCCGGACATTTGCTTTTCGTCCTCTCAATATCGTAAACAACACCCCGGCAGCGAGAAGGCAGTGAGCAGGACTTCCCTGGCAGTGGCTGTATACGCTTGGCCATGTGAGAACATTACGAAACGGAGAGTTGACTCTTCCCACCTTCGGTCGTACCAGGGCATTTGAGGGCTCAGTTACATATACAAAAGAATATATATAAGTTTTCTCTAGTCGAGCTTGAACATCACTTGAATATGTACGATATCCTGCTTATGACATACTAATACGTTTTGAATTATTTTATGAATAATATTCAGTCACCCATGATCTGTAAAACCAAATGAGTAATGTGTGAAGTGAATACCGACCGACAGAATATCGACTAATGGTCATCAGAAATGACAAATCGAGTGAAACATATATCAGTTCCATTCATGAATTTTTATAAAGCTAGGATAATAATTAGAGCGAAATATTATGAATTCATCTGAATTTGTAGTTTGTCTTCAGCTGCTTACAAACAATTTGTCTACAGACAATATAATATTAAGACTGGTAAATGAACAAGTTGGAATGACAACAATAACTTGTACTATATACGAATAAATAAATATATATAAAAACAAGTCATTTGAATAGGGACATTGAGAGCATAACTGTGAGTTATTTGAAGAGTGACAATTATAATCCAATCCACCTTATTAATTTCAGATTTTAGCTAACTACTGCTCCCTCTTATATTCTCTTAATATATCTTTTCAAATGAATTTACACATATTTGGTTTATTTATTTATACATATATAATACAGGATATCGTCGTCATTCCAAATTGTTCAGTTACCAGTGGTATATTATTTAATATTATGTTATGTTTAAAAACAGATATGATTGTAAGCAGCTGAGGAGAAACTAGAAACTAAGATGAGTTCATAAAATTTTTCTATTATTATTGTTCTATAACTATTGTTCGCTGCCTATAGCTCTTCTAGAGTTACTGTCCGTCCCAAAGTCGGGTAAAGTAGGAGGTTTTGGTGGAGTTTTGTTCTCTGAGCTGGATGGTTTGGTCGTGGAGCTTTCATCGTTCTTCTGAACGACACCTGAAGTTTAGGCTGAGCTACAAATCTTCTCCACCATCTTAAAGTAGGAGGGTTGGGTATGGGGTCGGCAATCCCATTCCGTAGAAAAAAGCCTTACTAAAAAAACTCTAACCAGAATAAATATGGTGCTAATCAACTTATACATAAACACACTAAAAAGTCCTCCATCCTCTTGTGCTTTTTCCCATCTCTGATTAAACAATGTAAAGTAGTTATATTATATCTATCATATCGTACATATTTCAATTCTAAAAACAAACCAATTCTCTTTCTAGATAGATAATCAAACCGAATGAGTAAGTAGAAAATATTCTTGTTTAAAATGATTATTTTAAATATAAACATTGATTGAACAAATAATTGTGTATTTCAAACAAAAAACACATGATAGACATTAATGATATTACAAAGTTCATTCTTATTACATAATAACATAAAGGTTTGTTACCGTACACAATTAAAAAGTAACATAAACATCTTTAACCAGATTAATCAACACTGTATTAAAACATTTGCACTTTTACCGTAAATGCATTCAACTTGTGCGTTTGTTTGTGTATATATTCGCGCACAAATTATTATCTTTAATGATACAATTAAAATAACCATCAATGTAGTGAATTTCTCCTTGTAGATGTGGTGTTAACAGCATTTCATCAGAATTGATGAACGCAGAGAAAGTTTAAACAGTGGATTATCATCATTAAATGATGAATGGTGTAAGTGAGATACAATTATTCCCGGAAATAATAGTAATAAAATATTTTGCATGAAATGGTACTTATATTAAGACTCTTAATTAATTAATAATAAATCAAAATAAGCACATCAGAAAGAAAGAAAAATGTAGATCATGTGAATATGTGGATGAAAAATTACTTTTCACGTTATGATATTTATCTGTAAGGAGTGTAGATATTTATATGAATGTTAGAATGTGTTACAACTGTTTAATTCATAACAAACCATGAACAAACATATTCAGAAAGAAGAATTCAAATTAAGATAAGTGAATTCACATTTAAAAGACAAGACAAAAGTGTTACTAGCAGCTAATTAGTATCGATAATCATTGTATATATATTGTAGCAAGAATAATCATTTCTTTAAATGATCGATTCGACTAGAATCTGTTGAAATATGATTCTTTTTTGGAGAATGCATTATTGTATTACTACCAGGTGAAACAGATCCACTAGTTCGACTCGCTAACACAGAATTTAACAACAAACGTAATTCTTGTGTTAAAGTTTCAAAACGATAAGCAACGCGAATGTTGGGTAGATTACTTCGAGTTATATCATTACCCATAACACCTTCTTGTGTATAATTAGGTCCAAGCCAATGAGATTTAATCTGTAACAGAACAACAACAAATTAGGAAATAAAATAATTAAACTGTTAGTCAGTCATTCAATTGCAAACTAAGTAGAGCATGAAATATATGGCCATCAGAGAAAGCTCCCACACTATATCAGCACAGCTAGATAAAATTATCAAGAATATTAGAGTAGTAGAAGTTGTAACAGTATCCGCGTTAATAGAAGGCGATAGAGAGAGACATTATAATTCAAGAAAATATGAATTCGGGAAGTTATAATGCATGAGAAAATTTTTAAACACGTGATTTAAAGGAAGATGGGGATTGAATCCATCTGTGCCATTTCGACCGATTTTCAGCTATGACTCGATGTTTCCTCCAACCAGTGGTTATGATAACCGCCCGAACCCCGACCAGGTGCTCTTAACCTACCCACAACCTTGTTGTATCCGAAGAAGATAAAATTATGGGTAACTTCTGGGAAATATTTATGGACTGCTATTATATATATATTTCTTATTGTATAACTATTAACTAACTAGAATATATATATTTACATTTCTCTTATCATAAACTTTCATTTGACCTGTTGGCTATTATTATATGGTCTACTATTCTTAAGTCATTCCCAATTTATGAGTTAGCCTCTCACACTTACAGCTACTTTTGGCTTGATTTTCTATAATTATTTTTTATTTGATAGAGTGATGCGGTCTGGTCTGATTTTATATAAACCATGTCAGAAATATACGATTCGTATAGCGGAGGCTGATATTTGTGTTCTTGACTGAGCGGGCTGGGTTGGGCGAGAGTCTACCTTACCGAGGACCAATAAGGACTCAGAGATGGTCGGCTGGTTAACGCGACATTGGTTTAGCACAGGGACAAGGTCATGTAAGTCAGTGTTCTAATAGGTGATTTTGTCACGTAAACTGTGACGGGCCATAGGACGTAACAAACCTGATAATAAATTATTTGATAAACTGATATCACGCCCTTATTCGAACGATCCTACAGTTCTTGTAACCTACTCCTACACCCTCAAACGTCACGCTCCAAGGTAAGTTTGGTAATTAAACTGTTACAATCAACATGTTTAAAAAGCATCTCAGTAACTCATTTACCTAAGACAAATTTAATTGCTTAATACGATATTTTAAAGGGAATATAACTGATACTAATTCGAAAGATCTATCTTTTTTAATTGTGGATACAGAAGTAATTTATTAATTAAACTAAATACGCTAATTTGAAATAATCCGGAATATGTTTAGTTATTCGAATACTGTTAATTGAAAATCTGATCACCAGAAAGAGTATTTTCCTACCAGCTGAACAATTAAGTTATTTTCTGAGAACCAAGAAAAAAGTCTACATTTAACTTCAGCTCCTAAATCTAAAATAAAATGTTTGCAAAATATGGATATTCGAAATTACATAAGTTAAACAAAATAAACACATCACTACAATATAGTTCATTTTAAAGGGTATCGAAAATGTTGAAATATCTGTTTCTAAATGAATGATTGGCCAATATAATGTGCCACAAATGTGACTTAATGACAAAATATATCTATTTTGGTGGAGTTTTGTTCTATTTGAAGTTTGTGCTGATGATGTCGTTCAGAAGAACGATGAAAGCCCCACGACCAAACCATCCAGCTCAGAGAACAAAACTCCACCAAAATCATCCATCTGAGCTACAAATCTTCTCCACCATCTCAAAATATATCTATATACTCTATTTTATGAGTATACCACTGAAAATTGTACAATACCTCTAAACTTTCATGAAAGAAAACGTAAAAATGGAACTATTTCTGTGCAATTGATATTCAGATAAGGAAATGTATAATCTTACACAAATAATAATTATTATTATCATAATAACTTACCAGAGGAGAAAAACCACTCATCAAAACACTATTACGTGCTAATTCACACATATCAGTAGATGTGAATTTCCATACTTGAGCAGCTATACTATATTCTTCAATCAATGGTTCTTTAGTAAAATGAAATTGTAAAGGGTCATCAGTGCTAAGACTGACAAACAGACCCCGTGCTAAAAAGTCATTCAATGGATTACGATGATAATCCAAAAACAAAGAATTATTACTCAAAGGTGACATAGCTATTCCGATCTGTTATTGAAGATTTGAGGCATTATAGAAAAAAATGAATAGATAAAAAACTCATGAATAGGTTCACTAACTAATAAAAGAAAATTATCATAAATTCAGATAGAATTTTAAAATATAATTAACTTCAGATAAATAAAACGAACATTTACTCTACATCCGAGTGGGTATACTTCGATAGGCTATTTTACGAAAAAGTCTTCAGGAAAATCTAGGTTGACTTTCATCCTTAGTTTAATTGTGACTGACAGCTACGTGAAAGAATTTCAAAGAAATCAAATGAAGACAAAACATCGATAGGCAACAGGTAATCACTGGACTATTTTACTGAGTTAGTATTAGCCAGTTATGCAGTCGAGATCATAAACCGATCACTGTTAGACCACCACTGAGAACCTGGAAGCACTTAACGGCCGTTTCGTCCAAGTGTACGACTCCTCAGTAGTGCGCACGCACGATCCTACACGCAGGACTTAAATCCGAGACTTTCGCTCGTGAATGTACACTACCTAAGGTCCCGTAATGGGACGAATCGGCCGTCAAGTGCTTCCAGGCTTTCAATGATGATGTAAAATTGATGGGTTTATGACCTCAATAAGAACTCAACGATCTCTACAAATCTATTCTGATAATCATGTAATCGATTATTCTGAGATTAACTAGTAAAATGTATAAGTCATATTTCTTTAAAATAAATATTTCAAGTGTTAGAGCATTATACAATTTTAGAACATACAGTTTTTGGTTTGGCTAACAAAAATAAGCATCTAGCTTGGTATTGATTACATAATGTCATTTGGTCAACAGCTTTCTTACCTCGAACTTGGTGAACTCGACCATTAATGACTTGTATGTATCATTACCAAGGTTTGATTTGATAATTTCGAATAAATTGAGCATTGGGTAGATTGTTATAAATAAATAATATATTTGTAGTATCCCAATGAGTAGAAAATTAGATTTTCGCATTTTCATTTTTCATTATAGGAGTTGTGGAGATTGTTAAGTTTTGATTGAGATCGTGAACCGACTGATGCTAGACCACCATTGAAAACCTAGAAGCACTGTATCGCCGTTTAGTCCTATTGTGGGACTTGGAGTTCTGGTGAGAAGCCGTGACCAGTGGAGCTAATCCGTGTCGGGTAGAAACAGGTGTCTACTTCAGTACAACGGAAGATGGTTGCGCAACTCCGTGGATTGGATGAGGTTAGACATTAACATCACTGGACACCGGCTCAGTGGTCCAGCAGGTTAGGTGTTCGCGCGCGAGCGGAGTCGTGGATGCGCACTGCTGAGGAGTCCCGCAATGAGGCGAAATAGCTGTCCAGTGCTTCCAGGTTTTCAATGGTGGTCTAACATCAATCGGTTCATGATCTCAATCAAAATTTCCATTTTTGCTATAATACTATTCTACTTATTATGACTAGACAAATTACTCTAAATCATCCTGACCTTTATTGAATGACATTCCTAATTTGCAAATAAGAGAATTTTGGAGTATATATATCGTAACAGATGCAAACGTTCACCATTTTTGACACATAACATTGTCAAATTCATTAATACATGTCTTATTTTTGGCCTTTGTAAAATATCATAATCATGGACTTATAACTGTAGAGTCTTATGATGAAGTTATTGAAAACAATTGTTCGCTAAAATATTCTTCATTTTTGAATATATTCTATGGGGATTTTTAAACCGCTAAACCACAATCACCAGTAAAAATCTTAAAATAGTTTCATCAGTTTCTAGAACTGCAAAATTGGTAAATAACTACATAAGTATAAGATGCACTGTAAACATAAAATGTTTACATGATCTACTACTTCACATCATTCATGATAAACAAATAAATGTTTGTCGAAAAGAAAACAGTATTAAACATTTTACCTGAGCAATAAAGTAAAGATATTGTAGAACAGGAGCTTTACGTAACAACAAACCATGATTGATACTTTCAGCCAACAGGAAACAAGTAACCAAATGATTAATATTACCTGCTTCACCACAATGAGGTCTAAATGAGAATGTATTTAAGCCACGATGACTGAAAAAGAATTGCAAACACACAACAAGAAAAACATAAGAACACGACTAAATTAATATACTCTGCTTATAGGATGAAAACATGAATAGTTAATGAAAACAAATGCCATGAATTGATTGCCGATAGGCTAACAAATGTTACGTTAAAATTATGTTTTATTAAACCTAAAATTAATGATGTAAACAGAATTTATTGTTATAATTCGACGACTATGAGATACAGTCAGCCCAAAAAAACTACTTGATTGTTGCACTCCTGACCGATGTTTTGAACGGTTATCAATTGAATTCCCATGAATAATGATTAATCAGGGATTAGGTAAAAAGAGATTACAGGAACAATAGGACAATTTTTAGAAATTTATGATCACACCTATCACCACCGGTTGCTTTCAAAAATCGTAGGATAACTGTCCTTTTGAAGCAAAAAAATATAAGTGATATCATCATTTGAGGTGATAATGTTAATTCCACTCCGACAAAACAACACCAGTAAAAAGTGTATGCACAGTGAATGAATTCTGATTTCATGCCGGAAGAAATTTAACACCGAAATTAATGGACACACAATTCTATATCAAGGTCCGCAAATAAAATAATTCTAGAACAAAATTTTAACTCACGCTAGTGGACAAACAGAAAGACAAATTTAAAGTGCACTTTTAAACTACTGAATATATGACAGTAGAAAATGGGTATTCGGGAAAAATGTAAGTATTACCTCGATTTAACATTTGGACGTTAGAAATCAATACATAATTCTTATCCAAACAGTCGATCATATACCATGATGAAAAAGTCTCAAATTGAATGATTCACACAAATTCTCTGCATAAACGATAATAGTATGCCTACTAATGATTATTGAGAAAACGGATTCCTGAAGTCCATATAGAAATCATTAATCAGTGAAGTATGAATATGTTAAGAGTGAGACAGTTATCAAAGATTATATAGGATGATCATCGAGCTACATTGTGAATCAAGTAAGTTGATTCAATAGTTTATCCAGAGAAACCTGGAAGTTTTTAGATTCGCTCCCGTATAGGAAATCACATATCTGTGCATTAATAATTGGTCTTCGAATTAAGAATTTTTGTATCAAATTTATCAGTAAACCATCCCTAGTCGTTCTTAAAATTTTCTTTTGAATGTTCACACTATTAAGCAAAGAATTATTCAAACACATGAAAATCTCTTAGGATTCTCCCATATTTATTGTTGGTTTATTATTGTTCATTAATAAGAATATTTTTTATATAGAGTATGTAAACCATCATGTTTCTGAATAATTAATATCAACCACTTGGTGTTGTTCTACTTGTATCTTCCCATTGTTATTTAGGACTGCAATTGATCAATCTCATGTTGACATATGCGCAGCCTGTGCGGATTGCCTTGATAAAGCCTTAAGTAACAAGCTTTTTATGCAAAGATGGATAGTGGCTAGCAGTGCACAAGTAGATGGCTATCAGGACTCAGTAGCTAAGTGGATAACGCGATCGCGTTTGAAGGGAATGATACTGGATTCGAGTCCCAGAGTGAACATCAACTCTGCGATGCAGGTACATCCAGCTGACAAGTCCCAAAATAGGACGAATCGCACGTCCTCGATTCCACTGATAACCATTATCCATCTTTGTTTAATTAATACTATCATTTCCAATTTTTAAGCAGTTGAAGGCTAATCTATAAAATGAATGAATTTATATTATTCTAATAAGTCTATTTTGTTTTATTAGTTCTGTTTATTTTTGTTTAATTTTTTGTTTTGTTTGCATCATCATGACACGATCGATTCAACGTTATTCATAGGTTGTTTACAGATAAATCGAAAGGATTATCTCGTTGGTATTGGCGAGATAAAGTGAATAACTATTTTCAATCTATAAATAATTTCAATTTAATAATAGTGCATACACATGATGACCTTAAACATGAACTGATTCCCATAACTGAATAATTAATATACTAATCCCGTCAGTGAGTGATTTTTACTTAGATAATAATTTGAATAACAGAAAACACTGGACAGCTATCTCAACTTTGAGATTGAATCCAAGCCCTTTTATCTCAAGTGCAAACGCTTGAACCATCATTCAGTGGTGTGAAAGTTGAACTTCAATAAATTCGTGATATAGTGATACTATAATAAAACAGCTATCCAGTGTTTTCTAATTTTCAATAAATATTGAACTAAAATCAGTCGATAATGTAAACCGCGAAAATTCAACAATCTCCACAAATCGCCTAAACTATATAAGAATTATTTATATAAAAAAGTGCTTGGATTTAAGATAGTCGAATCAAAGTTGTAAGTTTCATAAACTGACTGCATACTTGCATAAACATAACGTAACAAATATAACTTCTCACTACTAACCATCATTCCCAAAAATACATTTTAAGAAAAATGCTCACCTTCTAAGTTGATTTAATTGAGATATATTAGCAAACATATAGAATATATAATAAGAGTATGGAGGATTCTCATTTAAATCATATACATCCGGTGTAGGAGTTGACGCATTGAATACAACTTTATCAGATTTCGATTCATCATCCACTGAATCAAAACCAGTTACATATTGTAGAAATGCATGTAGTTCAGGATGGGATTTAGGATTGACAGTTACCTCGAACAATGGTTGAAAGACGTTTGTGATAATATCCTGAAATGAAAAGAATTATGAAGAAAACTAAAACATTATTCTAAAAAAAATACCATACATAGTAAACTGAGTTTTTTGTGACTTAAAATTCAACGATTCAGTTACTTTTAGACATATAATATTGTAGAAAATGGAATTACATACATTTTCATTGGAATGAAGCGATGAAAAGAATTCTGAATATATAAATTCAATGATCATTTTCTGTGTTACATAACAGCTAAAATTTATAGCTTTCGCTTATCATTATTGTTTACTCAACATAACATTTTTCTGTTTGATATAAGGAGTAAAAATTGGTCAATAAAGTTGGCTGTTTAACAATTCTAGCAGCAGTAACAAAAATAAAACACTTTTATGATTTTATTGTATTGTAAACAGAAATTTTGTAGTGTGTGCCACGTATGTTGACAAATATAAGTAGTATGTAACACCAGTCAGAAGTAAAATGCCTTACAGGACAAGATTGAGCAGATTCAATTAAAGAGAGCATAAATGTAAATAGGGATCAATTGTAACAACAACATAACTGAAAGAATAATGAAGTATGTAAAGGACAATTGAAGGGAGATGTGCAAGGTAATGTATTTAATGCATGGTTTTCATATATAACGGAACCAATCTGTAATTTTGTATTAAATAATATATTGGCTTTCCCAACTAGAATTTCCGCTCACTTCAATATAATAAGCACTGAGTAGTTGTAATCTTATTACAAACTTTATTCTCCTTCTAAAAAGTCAATTCAAACTTATTCTGAGTGTATGTATTTCAAAACAATTGACAGATATTTAAATAAATTACTTATTATTTTATTGTATACGTGATCGATTGTTTGTTTATCTCACTGGTAAATCAACATTTCACCATCCCCAAGAGAACAGAATAGAATACATAGTCTTCAAACCTTAGGGAGGAGTCTAATACATTAAAATTTCTGAGGTGATAAACATCAGTCAAAATACTTGAGTTGGTGCTTTTCATATGTTTTCATATACTCACTTTATAAAACTGAGAAATAAAACTAAAAATCTAATGCATTTCAATGATATTTTAATACTATTTTCAATTATTGAAAGACTCCACAATGATTTCTCAAGGAAAGTAAACAACGAATAAGTGGGAACTGTCTGTTTTACAAAACATTATCGATTTAACCTCTTTGCCAACATGTTTCAGAAAGTAATATGAACTATTCACCAGCCAGCTGATGATCAACTGGTCAATTTAATCCAACTTTCATTAAAATATAAGAAAAAACAATGACCTACATTTTACTAAAAGTACGAATCATTACTAATAGGAAATTGGGGAATTTATGTAATAGAAACAATTCGATTATGGGAAAAGGTTAACATATTGAATTATTTTATTTTATCTCAACTCGATTTCAGGAATTTAACTACTTTTAATGTATTTTTTCACTGAAAACTTTTTCACATAATTTTTATTTAGAAAAAAACTAAACTATGTCAATAATATAGTGGAACCTTTTAACTGCTCCTAAAACGCTCGTAGTCATTGTTATTGACTTCGATTATTATGTTAAGCCCATATAACTTATTCTGGTTTCTGAACAGGCAAATTTATCGATACTTCTTGAGTCATGTTTTGATCTTGTTAATTCACTCATCAAGCCTGACTGTATTTATATGAGCGTATGTGTGTACACTTCTTATCCTACTCATCACATATCTGTAGCTTATTTTGGTGTGACTATAAATAATGATTAACGCTTGGTTAAATTGAGTTGGCTCACACGCCTTCTCCACTGTGTGTCATTTTGCTTCGCTGGCTTCTCTTTCTTCGCTTCGTCCCTCTGATTGCCTGCCCAGAACAGTGAGTGTACAAAATATATGTATTCGAAATCCATTCTCGTATTTGGCTCATATAATTCCGTTATTCAATAACGCGATTAAAGTCGATCATAATATACGAGAATAATCAGGAAGTATAGTTCGACAGCAATCTTTCAATAACGACCATTTGTCCGATCAAACATGAGTCAGATCACGGGGCACTAATAGGTGTATTAAGAATGTGTAAATATATGAACTCACTTGGAAGTATTTCATTGATCCTTTGGCGTGATAAACATCGAAAAGACGAGGCACTTGAATCAACCAACGTATATTATCAGAATAAACTTTACAATCGATAGCCCATTTAGCCAAATTATCCCATTCATTGATAGATCTACCATAAATTGAAAGACGTGGTTCAGCATTTTGATATTTCGATTCAGAAAAGTCATAGAACACTTCCTGATATTTGAGGAAAGGAAAAAAGAGGCAGAATGATTACAGAGAAATGTTAAAACATTACCACTGTGATATTATTATTATCGTTAGTCATGAAACTATGACAGGCACAGAAAGATAACTACAGCGAACTAACTCAAATAGTCTACTTATAGAGATAAACAGTTCATTTTAGCAGACAGTAATACCAAAATTTGCATGGTAGTTTATATCTCCATAAACTCAACCAACAAAGGAGATATATTTAAAAAGCCAAGGATTAGTGTAAAACAAAACACATTTGAATCCAACCAGTTGAAAAACTATCAAATGTTTAATCTGTCAAATGGTAGAAACTATAGATTCACTAAATAAACCAGTATGTGAACTCGATAGATTCGTAATAATAATGCGCTTGAATGTCAATATAATAGAATTAGTTTAATGATTAAATGCACTATCATAATATTTATTAAATAATTTAAAAGAGAAACTATCCAATCGAATAAATCGACAAGTATTAACGTAAAATCTTTTACAAATAAAATAACAATACAGTTATACCAACCAAAGGTTAAAGTCAAATCAATCAACAGTCATTTGACTCAGACCTCTGAACTGACTGACGATTAATTGTGAAAAACATTAAAGTCGTAACAATAATTATTGACAGTACTAACGAATTTAAATTGTAACTTTCTAATTCAATAAGGATTAACATTGAAATTATGACTGGGACACTTTATGATTGGAATTTTCAATATGAAAATGATTGAAAGTATAAACTATTCAAAAGGAGAACTAAACAAAGATGAGACAATCGTGTAATGCAACACAAATCAAGTTTATTCGATTAAAAAATTGACATGAAATTTCAACAGTAAAATATAATATTTATTATCAGTCTCGCGTTCGCGCGCGAGAGTGAAGGCCCTGGGTTCGAATACCGCGAGCAGGATCGTGGATGCGCACAATAGGACGAAACGGTCATTCAGTGCTTCCAGGTTTCAATGGTGGTCTAACATCAATCGGTTCATGATCACAATAATATTTATTATCATAACGAGGATTTGTGGAGATTGTAGTTGGATGCTGGCTCAGTGGTCTAGAGGTTAGGTGTTCGCACACGAGACCCAAGAATCCTGGGCTCCAGTCCTGTGTGTGAGATCGTGGATACGCACTGCTAAGGAGTCCCATACTAGGATGGAACGGTTATCCAGCGCTTCCAGGTTTCCGATGGTGGTCTGGCTTAGATGGACTCGTGAATTCAACTTTGAAAATACTGCAATTTTCACAAATCCCCATACTGAAAATAATCATGTGCACACTAGTGACCAGCTTCAAGATCGAAATCCTGGATTTCTAGAGAGAAGTCGTGATCAGTGAAGACCAATCCTTTTCGGGGGTGAGACAGCTATCCAACTCAGACAATGAATGAAGCGTTGTGAAAGATCATGGACCAAAGTATAGTAATGATCATAAAATGACGTTAAAAATGCTAATTGCCTTAATAAAAGAAATTAAACATAAAATCTACACGTTGATATGTAAGACAATTTCTGTTCAATAATAAGTCAATCACTGTAAAGTCTGTTCATTTAATTTTCAATTTATCCTTATGATATTAATTAATATCCTTTAATTTCGTATTTAAATGCTAGCTATTAAGATTAACAATTTCTGTATCTAACAATCACTTAATCAGTATACAACTGAATAAACTCAAATATACTTGATACTACTGTCATCTTTACCAAATAAATGTTCCTTTCAATATTTGTGGTTTGCTGAAGTTGAGTCGAGGGATGGAACGAAGTTATTGTTTGAAGTGTCGTTGAGCAGTCACTGGTACTGCAAATCATAGGAAGAAGAACGATAGAACAATAAAACATCAAAGAGATAAATACACTAGACCTAAGTCAACATATTAACTTCGCCATATTGGACTCTACGAGGTTATCTGGGTTAATGGTGAAACACTAGCGGAATGATATCAAAGCTTAAAAAGTATGTTATATATATGTATAAATCCAACCATAGAAATTACCATAAAATGGACAATTTAATGGTTGCCAAATCCAAGTGTTTGTGACCTATAAGGTGAAATTGGAAAAGGTTGAGAATTCAGGATGTGGTATTCAAGGTTTCAAATTAGTGCCTTTTTAACAATTTCCCTTCTCCTCTTACGTGAAAAATTATAACTTAAAAGAAAGTTTCTCTTAATTTAGTATAATATTATCACACTACTTTCAATGGTATATCATCTTGGTATTTATTTGATGAGTAATTGCTAGGTTTGAAGCTATTACGAGTTCAATTAGTATGCGAACGGAACAAAGATTGGTGACCGTAGACCAATAAGCTAGCTATTCGATGCGTCCCAGCCCCCCTAACTAGAGGAAGAAGTCCAAGCCTGGAACGGGAAAGTATATTCCGTAAGCCAGAAGCACGAGTGAATCATAACAGACACAAATCGAACGTATATATACAGCATAAAACTGTCCTTGGGAAGCGTTGCAAAAATATCATACTAAAAATACACAACGGACCAACAGCGTTAAAAATTTTCCTAAGTGGGAAATATGACATGAAGGTGAAAAGTGTGCTTTTGGCGCGAAAACAAGGAAATTTAAATTTCCAAAATAAAATTATAAAATTAAGGCATTTACCAAGTGAGTTCTGGGGATCTAACATCCCCAACAGTAATAGGTTTGTGTTTAAATAAATTATGATAAAAAATTTTCAACAAATAGAGCATATTATTAAGGTTATCTTAAAGTAATCGTGTTATACAAGATAAGTATTATCTCTACAAATACAGAAGTGTTATTAATTATTTATTTGAATAAATGTAACGTGAATGAGTAAAAACTAAACAGACGATAGGATAATAATAAAAACAAATTTACCTTCAGAACATGTGCAAAGAAAACGCCTTTAATGTAGTTGTCCGTCTTCAAAAACACTTCACGTAGTTGACTTTGACCAATGGGATTGTATTTAGCGTTGAATTTATCGAATCGGTGAAAAGTGTTACGATCCTTATGGTTAACAAAAATATTCAGTCAAAAATTAGATACAGTTATGCATTAGAGCAAAAAACCTGGAAAAATAATCACTTAAACTACTATGTGGATGATAACAGTGACATGAAAAAAGGAATAATAATTATTTATATTAATATTGTATGAATCATTTTCTTCAGTCCCAGTACACTAGTTAAGGTGAGAGCAACAAACCTCTTCGTAATGAAAATTAACATCACTATGCGACTGAACAAACTTCAGTGAGGGATGAACAACAATAAACAGGTACACCTAATAGTCTCGCCCACAAAATTAAGTTGTTTCTAGTCACATTCGCATCACGATCATATTTGATTTGCTAAATATGTCTGTCAGAGGAGTCAGACAATAAACACATGATTTGCTAAGAAAAACTGTCAAACTAATGAACAGTAGTATGTCTTGTTTAAATACCAATAATACGTTTAGTTCGACAGTAATGTCTACGATTTAGTGTAGACCAAAGCATGTGACTTAATAATAAAAACCGAACCAATCGTCATTTTTCAGAAGTAAAAAAAATTAGGAAATAGTGTAACAAAGAATGACGAGCTAGACATTTAATAAAAAATTAAGAAGAGAGAAACACTTATTCACCACATGATATGCTATTATTTTGTATTTAGGCATATTTATATAGGTAAAATATGAAGCGATTACTATTAGTTTTTAGATTTGAAAATTTTTAAAATGCTTTCATGGTATTTAAAACATGGAGACGTGCAACCATTAAGGTCAAAAAAGAATGAAACTGGAATTTTTTACCCAGATGAAAGTGATTTACGATAAATATAGTGATCGGTGGTTGCAATCTTCGGTTAATGTAGGTGATATCGTGTTTTCAGATCACTGGTTCTCAGAAAAATGATTTATCTGAAGAAAAATTAAAGCTTTATCAACTCTAGAATAATGAAATAGCAATAGTTCCTAGCTTCACCAATGTTCAAAACGAATTGGTAGTCTTCACTGTGACCAATTGTCAGAATAAAACCTTTCTTTCCATCTTGGTCAGAGATAATGAAGTAGTTTATAGCTGAGCTTGAATACGGACGTCTTTCAAAACTTTCTAAATTTCTTTCATTTTGGTGTTCTTACATTATGTTAGTATCAGTCTCCTGGTTCTTAGGTAACTACTTTAAAATTAACCTCTTGACAGAGTATTTTGTTAACTCCTTTATTACATATTATGCAATCTGACAACTGCCTAATTACGTTTTTAATTTTACAAATAATTACTTTGCTTATTAACATGTCCTCCCTCTAATTACCCAGTTAACTATTCGAAGTTATTTTAATAATCACTTCCGAGATTGTTATTACTCGATTAGTATCATTTTATTACTGTAAACCATATATATATTTAAGTAGTGTTGAGAAGTAGCAAATTTATGATCTAGTAACTTTGTTATGTTTCTTATTTAAAGCAGTTGAATCCATTGATGTCTTAAAATGAATTAACGGATTGGTTTTTGTCAAGTAGTGCTTAGTTCGAAGTGTTTGAAGTTGATTATTGACCAGATACGTAAACCATGCATTCTTTTAATAGTTATATTGGGTAAGTGATTGTAACTGTTGTGGAGTCTGTTTGTGGTATACAATAAACCCTCATCTGCGATCTTGTCTGCTATTTTGCATCGAGATATACTAACTTTATTCCGTTGTAAAAGGGAGCAAGTGGTCATAACAAGTAGCCACACTAATGCTTCAGTTTAATTATAATGCGGAGTCCGTAAGGAAAAACTGAAGTGGAAAAATGTTATTCGAATCTAAAGCAATTCTAAGTACGATGTTAATATATTACAGCGCTTTCACTAATTACTTACTAAAGCTTTAAATTTTATTGATTTTACAAGAGATGACTTTCAAGATCTTAAAGATTTTTATCACTTGAAGCAGTTATCTAATGCTTCCAACTTTCAGATGGTTTCGAATTTCATCCTTTCTTTTTTATAAAAATTTACATCTAATCTATTTTTGACTCAAAAGTATGTTTTGTTTGTAGTTTCACACTACATTTTAGTTATATGTAAGTGACTCCAATAGAGTTCTTTCTTGAACAGTTCACCTAGAAACTAGAGAAATCGTAACATAAATTGGTGTGTACTAAATAACTTGAGATTGATTAACTGAAGGGAGTTTGATCCTTTTTACAACTAAATAGTTGCTTGAATATTAAATGAATTTATAATATAATACTGATTCGGTATCTAATGGTTTACATACCTATCTTTTGTAGGTAAGCTATATTACACCAATATTACTCACTGCCATTGGTGATATTTGTCTAAACTTCTACACGGTTGAACCTCCTTAGGGCTCACTGAGTTTAAATGACTCAGCACTTTATCATTACGTTATAGATGTAATAGGTAACTTGAAACAAGTTTTGAACATGTGCGTTCATTTGATTTGAAAGACAATGTCAGTTGACAAATTCAATTCTTCAATTAGAACTGAAAATACTCATCAAGTTGATATCAAGCGGAACAATAAGTGAATCTAATAGTTAGGTTTTAGCGTCACAGACCGATGAGTTTCTATTGAAAACTATCCAAAAAGATAGTTACCAGTTAGGCTAACGGGATGAGATTTAACATTAGAAGAAATAGGCTGACATATGACTAATGGTTCAGGGTTCCATCAACTGATACATTTCGTTTGGGAATTGGTATATATGAGACAAAAAGTAAAAAATTCAGTCAAGTAATATATAATTTTTTCTGTCAAATGAATGTTTTATTATATATTTACATATAATGAACCTTGGGTCTATTCACCAGTTCCTATACTCTACAAATAGTGAGTTATCTACAAAACAATAACACATCCACATATCACTTAGGAAAGTAGACGTTCATTCTCTTCTTAATTTCATTGCACCAACAATCATCACTAACTTAGTACAAAGGATTTAAGGCAACTCAATTAATTAAGTTCAATTGTTAACAAGTTTTGCTTAAGTATTTATTTATTTCAGATAAGCTACATAGCTGTCAGGTTAACATGTATGTATTAGTACTACTCTTGTTACGAGAGTAGTATAATTCACGTAGTTGAAAACAAATCTTTTAATTATTGGTGTCATTGCAAATCAATAAAAAAAGTAGTAAGCAAATAATCAAACATGAGTGTAATCGACATTTGGATGGACGGTTCAAATCCTTACTCATGCAAATAAAAAATATCATCCTCTTGAACAAGTCCATGACTATTTGAATTCAGTGGATAACGTATAAGTGAAATATACTAAGTTCGAGTCCCGGTGAAATGCAGTTAACGAGTGCTAAATAAAGAAAAACATACTTTCCAGGTAACAATAATCTATCTATTCTATAGAAAAAACTTTTGATTAAATATTAAGTGGCTACATCGAGGTAATCTACGCAGAATGCACACGTATCCCAACAAAGACCGATCAAAATTCAGTTTAAAATATTAGCAATTGAATAATTCAAATTCCTTCTCACAATGAGACAAATTCCTAATTTTGTTATGAAAGCCAAAAAATTGTGATTTAAAAAAGTGCAACCATATACTTCATAGTAGAATGATACTTTTAAATGACGCATACACAACTAGCACACATATGCCGTCGTTTTAATGTAAATTATACACAGCAATATTATCTATACAATCGACGAACCTTTATTTTAGTTATTTAACAACACTATGAATTCATAAACTATAAATAACAAGGTGAGCAACTTGAAATCCTAGAAAACCTACACATACGGTGCTATTATATCCAGCTTAGTAAATATCATAGTAATAATGGTTTTATGATATAAGTGGGCGTATTTATACGATAAATTAACTAAAAATTCGATTTCATACGATTTTATAAATAAAGGATAAACTGGAATAGTGATAAAGAATGAAGACTGCGAATGAGATAGGATAAAAAGTTATGGATTTATACGGCCTTCATAAAAACCTGTCATCTTATAAATTATAAATCAAGTAACACGACTTATTCACGTACGTTTTTTATACTACACTAAAATTTAAATCGTTGAAACTCTTTAAGGCCGTGAAATATGACTTATAAAATCAGAAGATATACATAGGCTAAAAATATTTGTTCACACGTTACATCGATGCGGTTAGGTGTACGTCACTATGGTAGAAGAAAAAATCGATTGATAAAACCATAAACGTACATCAACTGAGGTGGTTAGAGTATGTGCTACAGACCTCCAGACATCATCTATCCTGATGAACAACATTGGCTGACATAGTAGCAAGCTGAGTAATAATTAAAGGAGGAGGATCTAGACACGATATTAATCTGTTAATTCATCAACTGTCGATTTGATCTATGAAGGTAGATGAGAACTTTTAGGTTTAAGTCCACGTAATAATTGTCATTTATAGTTAGAGAGTCAAAATGAAATGGAACAATATGAATCACAACAAAGCAGTTATATCCGATCTTTTATTTTAAATCTTGGTTGAGAAGTCATTTTTAAAAATTTTTTTCTCTTGATTTATTCATTTTCGAACTTTATTAATCTGATAGGAATGAGAGAAAGAATGCGCCACAGTTAACTGATAACCTGTGTAATTTGTAATCTTTCAGTCTTAAGATATCTGCAAATTGTGTTCATATAGTTGGTTACTGGCTAATCAGTGGCAAGTGCAACTCAGCTGAAGTCATTCGGAGTCAATAACTCATCACTGTGATTAGAATTTATAAAAATAAATAACTTGATAAACTGTTCTTGATATATTTTCAGTGCATCGCATTTTACTGAACTATGGCTTAATTGTCAATTTATATGTTGATGATGGCTGACTGACTCACTAACTATATTCAGAAGTAACATTTGCATAGATATATGTTGATAAACCATTTTAAAGCGTAGATGTGATAACACCCATTAATTTAATAGTAACAGTTAAATGTTTACGTCACTCAAACAACTATATACTCATTGAAGACACTCCGATGAGGCAGTTTATAAACCAAACATTTCCACCTAACATCCAACTATAAATTTTAAATATTTTTTAATGAAAAAGTACAATCTCCTTCCAGTATATTGCAAAATATGCAAGACAATAACTTTTAAATATGTTGATCCTTGGACTTACAGCGTGAACATCCAGATTGTCAATATTTAAATCATAAAGTGTAATTCCAATTTTATCAACCAACTGTACAATAAAAGCATGAAACAACAAATAAAACAATTACAATTCAATAAAGAAAAAAAACGAGCGATCAATAATTTTGTCGACACATCTAGTGTGATATTTCTTGCACTCAATGTGAAAACAATGTGTTTTAGATATACAAAATAAATTATAATAAAAAGAATAATTCAACTCAATAATTAAGTATAGTTACGGGTAAGCAAACTATCCCTAGCGAGAAATGTAATCAAAGTGATCAGGAGTAAAATGATTTGAAAATATTCTCAGGAGACATGATATTTTACATTAACATTGTGCTCTAAATATCCGTGGTCAGAGCAGTGAACTAACTACATGTATGTAAAGTGTAGAAAGAGAATAATCTTGTTAACATAGACCTAACCTTAGCTATACAGTGTGGTTTACCGTGTTGTATGTTAGATAACCCTACTATGCCAGCTATTCTGTAATTGAATTAAAATAAGTCTATACAATGTCCTAATTATTATTTGTCAAGTGTTATATCATTTCAAAACAGAATAAGTAAACGATACTTATAGTTGGCTAATATTGTTCTCAATTACTTAAAAAATGAAACTAGATAAACGAACCGCTAGCGTACTTATTTAAATCACATTTGGTTGCATTAAATGACTTCAGAACTACTTTATCTCTTTACAGAAAATTTTGATTTTATTCAGAAATATTTTTCAGAAATCAACGAAAATAAAGAAATTGTTATAATCGAAGGTGAATGTAGAATGTTTCAAGAAAATCGGTCAGACAAGTAATTTCCTCGCTAGCGTTAACAGGAAATTAAGATGTATAAAAAGCTGAAGTAATAATTCAGTATTTTTTTTAAAAATACAACAAAAAATACAAACAAAATATCATCTTAATGTTATTTTGTGTGTACGAACCCGTTGAGGACGTACGTCGTATCTGCATTGATGTGACCCCTGATTAAGGAAGTTTACTCATCACTGAAGTAAACACTTATGTACTTTATGCTATGAACATCAATCCCGTATGAAATGCTAATGATACGATTCGGCCGCTAAAACCCACAGGGATGGAACATGTCTCAAACTTTACACTTAATAGTGCATAAATATCATTTACCTTGACATATACAATGAGTTTAAAAGACAAAATGATGTGAGATGTAATTAGAAACAAAACTTTTGGTATTACCAACTACATAAATGAACGCGCCAGCTATACCAGTGAATAGAAAACATTTTGTTAAAGCGTACAATCCACAACATTTCTGTTTTATTAAATCACTATTTTTAGAGCAAATAGTTTGATGAATTGTATGAAATGTACAATTATCAGTTTACTAGATGTCAGTTCAGTGTTCATCAGTCGATAATCTCCAGTTAAAAATTAATCATAAAAATTAAATAATCATGAATGTATCTAACTCATTAATACAGTTATCTGTTGATAAAATAAAAATTCCAGTAATTCCTATTTTAATCCATATTTTTACATAATTTGAACATTTTATACCGAGTAGTTTATATTATAATAACTAGACTCATATCAGTTTCAATTATTTTCACACTGTTATATATTGGTTAGAAATGTATATACTGTTGCATACCATATTTTTCCGATCAAATAAATGACTTTTACAGTCACAGGTTAGGTGTGACATAAGATATTGTAAGATGGAGAAGAAGGAGAGAATAATTAATCACTATCTAAAAAGTTTCTGTTTGCTATTATCCCACTAATCCAGTGCATAATTCTGCAGATATTGAACAACAATATTAAATAAAATGTAAGTACTTTCTACTTTATGAGAATTTATTCAAGCAACTTCCTACTTATATATTCCTCATATATAAAACAAAATATGAGAAACGCCCAGTTATTTGAAAGTACACAATAATTTTGACTTTCTAGCATATAATGTATCTGATTCGATTTTTTTTAACAAATAAAAATTGAGTAACACCCAATTGACTGAATGTTTGATAATAAGTTTGACCTCGTAAACAATGGAACATTCAAATAATTATTCGAAATTTTATTCATATGGGAAATCAACGTAACTTAAAGTACATTCACTGCATTTAAAATAAAACATACGTAATAACAAATCATTTAGAAGAATCAGTAGGAATTCACACGAACACCTCGACATTAAAGTGCAACACAATTTATTTTATGACTGGGTAGATACAGTCTGCTCCAGTCTCTAATTTGTAGAATTTTTAAAAGACAATACTTAATCTATAACAATGAAAAGCTATCATTTACTAAATTAGTAACAATATAGAATGTTTTAACCAACCTACATTTAGATTACATGTAGCAAACAGGAGAAATCAATGTTAGTAAACCATTAGGTTAAGAATTTGTTGAAGTTACATGGTAGCAGTGTTGACTGTCCAATTGCTAAGTCGGTAGACCATTTTAGTTATATATGTATATATTCTATTTACAACCTATTACAATCTTTTTCACTAACTAGTGTTTCAATAATCAGATATCTCCAGTATTCACACAGAAAGACAACCGTTTACTGGCGTAAATAAAAATATAATATTTTCAAGGTTTACATCAGTTGTTCTTAACGAAATACATAAAAATAGCGGGATAAATCATCTACACTATCGATAATTATTTCAGAAATATAGAAATTTCCCAAATTTGACATCTTAAAAATATTCAGAAAGTTTGTAGTTGTAAACAAAAGCGTTATTGTATCCGTAAATCTACTTATGTTTAATAAGCAAATTAAATGTAAAAATCACTTCAATTAAGTTTTAAAAAATTACATTTTAAAATAAACATGTGGATGAACTCTAACAAATTGCTCACTGAAATGTACAGTTGACAGAAAGTAAACTTGTATATGCAGTCTAATGTAATACTGATTACGAACTGAATACCGAAGCCGTAGTATGTCTTATTATTAAGAATAATATCACTGACAGCAAAAATATTGGGTGTACTGAATATTATTCGAAAAGAATGAATTTATTTACGAAATGTATTAAACTATTTTTGAAACTTATAACCTAAGATAAGGTAAACAGTGAATATATATGCTCTATCACGACCGACTGTGAATTGTCAGCCAATACCTCCAAACACCGATCCCGATAATCAAGTGAATTCCATTCAGATAGTCTGAACCTACTAATATGGCTTAACTCAACAGTCACTAACTTCATGGACTGGTACTACATTTTGATATTCTGATCACTAGTTTAGTTCCAACTCATTCCTACACCGGACAACATTGTACATTAAGTTAGGTGACGGTTATGAATACTTAATACATGAGTAGATAAAGATCCACATTATTATTAACTTATCACCTAATACACTGTATTTAATCTCAACAAAATACGTGACCAATGCTTGCAGATTTGTTGTAGTTCAGGAGTCTACAAAACAGATCTCTGACACACGCACAAAAACAACCCAATGTTTCTTAATTATACGGTTAATCTTAATCCGTTACAAAAATTATTTCCATATTGAACAAATCTATACAAACTATTGAACAGAATATTAATTTATTGATTACAATTACACTAACTTATAACAATTTACTTATAAAGACACAGAATAGACAGAATAGGTAATAATCCTATGACTTACTTCACTTAATGTCATAGGCTTTTTAGTTTTTGGATCTTCACATACATAAACATCTGATTTAGTACGAATTGTTTTCTTGATAAAACGTAGTAAATGTTTTTGATTCATACATGATGATGCATGTATATGAGTATCAACCTGAAATAAAATCAATAAATGAAATTTGAGATCATAATAAGTATAAAATATTTATTATAAAAATTATGAGAAACAACTCAATTGATTACAAAATTAAAACACCTATGAAAATAATCTCTTTTTTTATTGTTACTATAAACGATTAAGACTTATAGTTCAATATATCAATGTGAATTGAATAGTTTATAATATAAATAAAACTGAAATAATATGTTGGTTTTAATAACTTAGATCACGAATAAGTAATAGACATAAGCAATTATCAACTTAATAAAGTGTAATGATAATTGATTGGTGATTCAAACTTTACATCTATTTGAGTGACTGGTTAATATCACTAGCTCTTATACAAAGTGTATGCAGGTGAAGAGAAAAAGTTGAGATGGTGGCACCTGCATGAACATCAATTAGCAGTCAAACGCCATGATATTTCCTCATTTATATCCATAAACGTGGACAACTGCGGACACTCATCCGATTGGAAAAATGTGGAAATCTTGGACAGAGGAAATTCCGAAAACACCAGAGAATTTTTAGAAGCCTGGCACTCAGGTCAATCAGCAGTCAACAAGTATATTGAAATCAATCCAATTTATCAACCAGTCAGGAAAATTATGCACAAATATAGGAACAAAAATCAAGCCAATGGGAGACAAAACCAAAACAAGGAAGTAAACAACGACAAATTTAAGTTCAATAAGAACCAATCAACATCGAGGTGTACAGAACAAGCTGTGAAACGCATATGGAGAAATTCGAACACTTCACTTCTATCTGAAGTTTGTGCTGATGTCGTTCAGAAGAACGATGAAAGTTCCACGACCAAACCATCCAGCTCAAAGAACAAAACTCCATCAAAAAGAGAGGGAGTTGAAATGTGATCGTTTTCGTTATCAGTTTAAACCCAAAGTTTAGAAAATTAAAAAATTTCCCTGAAATGATTGCATTCTATGACAATACTGACTAGTAGATTAATATTACAATATTCTAACTAAAATATGAAGATACTTCAAAGCATCGCTATAGAATACATAAAGAGCAACGAAATTTACCAATTTAATAACTAATCCTATTAATTTTCTTATCTTCAGTTGAACTTCAAAATCAAAACAGAAAATGCAATCTTAAACGATATGCGAAGGAGAACTATGCACACAATTCCCTAAACACTGGTCCTTTATAAAATTTCAATGTAAAAATATTAAATTATAATCTACTACAGATCTGAACGAGTCGTTAAGTAACGTAGACACTAATGTTACCACTGTACTGTTCGTATGCTACCACCAAATACAACCTGGCCACTTAATTTGAATTAAGATGGTTTTAGACTATAACCCAATGGTTGAAAGTTGAATGTGTTTTAACCAACAAGGGAGACAGTTATCCGTAACTTAGAACCTAGTACGTATGTACATCGCTTCAAGTAGCCATATCTCATTGGTGCAAAAAACGAAACAGGCCAAATTCCAGAATAGTAGAGGTAGTAACAGTATCAGTGATAATAGGAAAGATTAAGCATCAAAAATATGATTCAAGAAAACATAAATTAGTGAAATCCAGAAGCTCAGAATTCGAGGGTAGGCAAAGAATGAATCCACCTGCGCCATAGCAAACGATTTTAAGCCATGTCATTCAAAGTCTCCAAACATTGATGTTAATCATGCGGACCCCAATCAAGTAGTCTACATGTATAAAAACGGCTCATTTCAATTCTCAATGATTTCATAGACTGATGACATGTACCTATTTGTCCACCTCCAACTTTCTTCCAACATACTGAAATAAGGCTATGATAATATAAATGTTTTTAATCACAACGAACGATAATCCTTCATGGTAAACACCGTTAAGTTAGTAGGAACTTCCTATTTTAATTTAACAAACCTCATAAAAAACAATAACGTAAATTTAAATTATAGGTTAAAATTGAAGAAAAACAACCATTTAAAGACAATCTCAGTTGACCTAGATAAAGATAGATATTCTAAATTTTAACTTATTAATCAATAAGGAAATGAAAAATCTACCTACTCTTTTGATTGCCCACTCTATGTATGAACACATATGTACTTTACCATAATTAATATGTGTATGCTTATGTGAGAAGATATGGCTTAGTAACATAAGACAGTGAACAAAATAACTAGTGATATAGTTGAACAATTAGCTTAATCAGAATAGCGATTGTAAATAGATTCGTCGTTCACTTCATACAGGGAAAGAAATAATATGAAGATATACTAGAGGTGGTGATATATATATATATATAACCACTGTATATCTTTCCAGAAAAATGACAATAAGAAAGTAAGACAGAGAAAATTCTTCTACTACTATGGATTCTATGTGATAGTATGAATTTGGAATTTGTAGAGCTGATCGAAAAAAGCATTTACGTATTGATAAAAATCGATGGTAACCTACCACCTATTTATATCCCAAAGTAACAAAAATTTGAAAATGTAGGACACTGGAATTTAAATGAATGATTGAATGATATTTGTTGTATTGGATCTTGTGTGGTGTAGTAGACAAAACATTTCCCTACTGTTGTGCATTACTTTCAATAGTTTTGCATTTGATTTCAATTCATAATGAAAATTATCTACAAAAATATATATCACTTCTTTTGTAAGGAGTCTGTAGAGAATAAAAAAAGCAAGGTAACCTTTTTTATTATGAACTACAGTTATCCTGTTTTCAAGACTTCATGTATTTTCAAATATTCTACCAAGCAATAGTCCACTGAAGCTCTTTTAGACTTCAAGCTTTTTGAAATTGCAAAAAGTAAAATGGATGAGCACTGGTGAAGAATTTTATATTAAGACAAAACAGCTGTCTAGTGTTTCATAGATCCTAATAATTACCTAACCGAGGTCAATTTACGTTGTAAATAATAAATAGAGCAACTTGGAAAAATTGAATAGCCATCATGTAAGCTAACAAATCATACAGCATTAACCGCAGAGAAGAACCCGGTGTAGTTACTAGTTATCTTTGTCTAAATATTAAAATTTTTATTACTTTTTTTAATCTGACTCACAATACCATTCTACCAATTTTTTATTCTATATTGCTTGTGTTCATTTTCCTCTCAGTCAGTCAGTCAGCAACAACGTAGGACCAGGCATATATATGCATCGGTCCAAGTTGCCAGACCTCATTAACACAACAAGATGAACACCGGATTCATAAAAGTAGTTAATTCAGAGGCGGTAATACATAAAAGAAACATTGCAATAAGGATATAGTACAGGAATAAAGAATTAGTTCGTGGAAAGAAATATATGAGGCGATTTTAATCTCTTAGTTTAAGGGAAGACAAAGAGTGTATATACCGACGCCATTGTGATCGATTCTAAGCCATGTCACCAAGAGTCTCCAACCATTGGTTACGAAAGTCACGCGGACCCCAACCAAGTAGTCTGCATCTACCAACATGGCTCAGACTAGAGGTTAGTGACTTCAAGCACTGATGCCACGTTTCCGTTTGTCCGCCACTAACAATCTTCCAACCATTTCCAGTACCGGATAGCATTGCACGTCGTGGTAATCGGTGTTCGGGCATACGTAACACGTGGCCCAACCATCTCAGTCAGTGAAGATTCACAACCTCATCAACTGACTTACCATCATTCCCTAATACCCTGAGTCTAACTTCCCTAGTACTTACCCGGTGATCCCAGCAGACGCCAGCAATATTTCTAAGGCATTTGTGGTCAAATACGAGTGTCTTCTACTCCTAATGGCCATGTTTCGCTGCCGTAAATTAAAACAGAACGGACTGCCGCGCAGTATACTCGTCCTTTTATTGATAGACGGATATCTCGCCTTCGCCAAAGGTGACTCAAGTTGGCAAAAGCCAAGTGAACTTTTCGAATCCGTGCTGAGATTTCGTCAGACACCAACCCATTAGGGCTGATCAGACTTCCAAGATAAGTAAAGTTGTCAACGCGTTCGACTACTTTACTCCCTATCCTCAGTTCAGGTGTTGAAGTAGACCAGTCCTGAAGCAACAACTTGCATTTATAAGGAGAGAAGCGCATCCCAAACATTCTGGCATTGTTGCTTAGTGCTACCAAAATACTCTGCATTTTATCAGCGTCTTCACCAAACAGGACTATGTCATCTGAGTATTCTAAGTCGATAAGTGGACCTCCTGGAAGGAGATCAATACCCGAGACTTCAGTAGACGAGAATTTTTTTTCCATCAGTAAGTCTATGATAAAGTTAAACAAAAATGGAGAAAGTGGACAGCCTTGACGGACACCACTCGAGGTTGCAAAGGCAGATGACAATTCGCCATAAGCTCTGACTCGACTGGTAGGGTTCGAGTAAAGAGCCTTCACAAGGTTTATGTACTTCTGAGGTACGCCTTTCAATGACAGACACTGCCACAGAATCTCGCCGTCTACAGAGTCAAATGCTGCTTTTAAGTCAAGAAACACCACCATCGTCGGACGCCGATAAGTATGTCTATGTTCCAGAACCTGACGAATGGTGAATATGTGGTCGATGCAGCCACGATCAGGTCTGAAGCCAGCTTGAGTCTCTCGTGTTTGCAGTTCACGAGTCTTAGTTAGGCGTCTGATAATTATCGCGGCTAGTATTTTAGATATTATATTAGTTAAACTAATCCCTCTGTGGTTGTCACAGGATGATTTTGACCCTCTCTTATGTATTGGGACGATAAGTGATTGTGACCAGTCAGATGGAATAAGGTCTAACTCCCAGAACTTAGCTAAAATATTAGTCAACCTAATCGCTAAAATTGGACCACCATCCTTAAAGACCTCTGGAGCCAATCCATCTGGACCAGCTGCCCTTCCTCGTTTCAGATTAACTATAGATTTGTTTTCGCTCTTCATCGTGTTCAGAGCCTGATGGGATGAGTTTGCGAGAATCCATCAGTGCAATAGACCTTGAAGAAATCCATTAGTTCTTTGTAACCCTGTGGTTTAAATAACTGATAGATGTCACTGCTGTTACCACAGCTGCTTGTATGTCTTTTCAAGCAACATCTGGGTCAGCCTCGTCTTCACAACTACCTAAGTGTGACCTCAGTTGTTCCTGGAACCTACTTTTGGTTTTCTCGCTACTCAATTCAGTTCTAATGGGTCTTCCTAGTGTGACTTTTTGGCATCCAGTGAGGCGCAAGCAGATGCGTGCACGTATTAAGGCATGGTCGAAGTCCAAGCAGGTACACCAGAACGAGCGACAGTCTTCTACCGACCCTCTCCAACGATGACTGATGGCAATATGGTCTATTTGAATCCACCGTTGGTTTGGTGTAGGGGGTCGCCATGTTAGACGATGTCTCTCTTTATGCTTAAAATTTGTGTTTGCCAAAAATAAACAATTGTCTGAGCACAGTTGCAGCAGACGATCACCATTTTCCTCTGACGCTAATTGTTAAAAGCTGGACTAAAATTCTGTAAAATTGTAAGCAGATATCCAACCTGGTCCTCTGTGTACCATAAACAAACCAAGAAAATTAAAACTGAATCTGTGAAATACTTTTCCAATACTGAGTAAATTGCATGAACTAATATTTTAAAATTATTTATCTCCAGCAATTTATTCTATGTATATTTGGTTTGAGATGTTATCGTTTATTTTTAGTGACTGCATAACACAGTGGTATACATCGGTTAATTTGAGACATTTCACGCAATAAAAATAATCTAACTATTCACCTGGATTGAAGTTAGATATTAACACCGTTGGATGCGGCTCAGAAGTCTGGAGATTAAGAGTTCACGCGAGACAGGAGGTTCTGGGTTCGAGGCCCGAAGATGCGCACTCCTGAAGACTCCCATACTAGGACGAAACGGCCATCCAGTGAACCAGGTTTTTGATAGTGGTTTAGCATGGATCGGTTTATGATCTCAACAAAAGTTATTCTCCTGTTAGTTAATAATAGAGCAACTTTAGTAAACAGTTTAAGAGGGAACTGAGTAATCTCCGAAAGTGTTTAGGTGAATTTCACAAAAGAAAAAATGTTTATTGATAATTTAAAGTAATTTACCTTTCGAATATTATAGAAATCACGATGTGATACACGTTTTTGCTCAATTGATTCCCGAGCTTCATTCAGCAATGAATGCAATTGGAATTTTGAAGCCAAGTAAGTCAGTCGACGATAACAGAATGACTTCAATGGACCATCTCCTACAAATGTACGTATTGTATCAAAATCTGAGAAGAATGTCTGTAGAGATGGTATAGTAAATTCTGGCAGATCTTTTTTCATAGGTTGATCAACATCAACAGTTTCATTATTATGATTATGTTCTGATGTCCCATTTATTAAATTCACCTGGTTTCTATCTGGTGAATCAGACAATGTTTCGATGTGCATTATACCCTTGCGAAATTCCATTTTAACATCTAATGGTTCAGGCCAATAGTCTATCTCGAAAGGATCACCAGTTTTCCCAGGAGGATGAATTGGATGATCTAAAAGATAGGAATTCCCCAGAAGTGTTTTAAAAAACAATCAGATTTCAGTCTCCGTGAGATGAAATAAAAACAAGAAAATAAAAATGACTTATTTGTAGGATTCAGTTAACGCAAACGCTCATATACACATGAAGTCTAGGATGCGCAAACAATAATTGTTATGTAGATAGACATGGAGAGAATAGCTGAATGGAAGTATTTGTTATATGAGTAACATATACCTATAAAAAGAGGTAAACAGAAATATATAAATTTCAATGTTAGAAAGCAGAAGGGGCTTTTTGTAGGGTAACATGCTTTTAAAAGTCTAGTAGTAAACTTAATTGTTGGATGCAATACAATCAACAGTTTCGTAGCTGATATCAACGAAAAAATATCAATAATATCTGGAGCATGAAATTTCTTTAAGCTCACAGAGTTAACACTACATGTAGCCTTGTATAAGCAGTTGACAAGTGACAATGTGTATTGCTATAAAATATTGATTTGTAATGATAAATTTTAGTATGAAAACTTTCCAAAATTACATTTACCATACAGTAATTAATTCAAGAGAGAGGATAATTTTAAGGAATATAAATATTTGATTTAAGAAAAACTAAGAGTTGGCAGACGTTCGAGCTTTTTGAATCAACATCTATGTAGAGTCTGACTAATTCACACAAATAATAATGGTATTAATAAAAATAATTATATTATGGTTTGTTGATTTGTTTGCACCGATTAGTTCATACTTTACAATGTTTTGATAATAAAATGGAAACACTAGTTCTAAATTCGTCTATTGCGTTTAAATAACAGAATAGAATCAGATCAGACATAGAACATAAGTTTCATAGTCTTTAAGAGATAAAGATAAATTGCTTGATAAAAATGGGACGCTCCTTCTTACATACACATTCAATATATACAACACCATAATTAAGGTAAACACTAATGTAGTATTCAAACGTTTTTTTAAATATGCATTTCTAAAAGTTAACCTATTTTGAAATGAGAATCTGTAAACTCCCATACAATGATGGAATAAGCAATAAATAAATACAGAAAAATTCTTATATACCCACTTATAATTCATTTGTATATTGATTTATGTGCGAAAAATTACGGTAAACCTTGACGCTTGTGCATTCAACCATTTAATCCTTAATTCTGAACGGGCTGACCGACACAACTACCGTATAACTTGAATTAAGAACTGATTTTAGTCAAACAACTATTTAAAAACCACGAAGCATTAGACAGGTGTTTCGTTTTAGTGTAGGACTCCCTAGCGGTACACATCCTTGATCCTACTGGGGATCTAACCAAAGACGTTGAAGATCTCACAATAATAAAGATTATCAAACAAATTCTATTTCTTAGAATTAACAGAAGTTCCAGTAAAGAAAGAAATTATGAGTTCAGAACTGAGGATTTTTTAGAAACTCACTATTAAGAGATGCTTTGTCACAAGGATAAATACTGTCATCAGTATTCAATATATCATTAAATTAATTGTTTTCGTTTAGTTGTTCCAATTTGCAATTACCTTACACTCGTACCATGAATAGGCATTTCTTTTAGAAATCCAAAATGAGACAGTATACAGAGATTGGTAACAAATTAGTAAACGACAATATAGCTATAATGATTGACCAAATCCTATCAGTTAAATTACAATGTGATCACCAGATGAAATGAACTGATATTGTGGTACAATTTACCTTAAGCATTAAGTATGAGACTCTGGATCTAAAGTCTGTATTAGCTAAGATTTTTCAACAAACTAAGATATAGTTACAATCGTCGGAGAATTGATGCTTACCATAGGATACGAATGCAAGTCAAGAAATATTTTCAAATGAATAGCTATATGTCTCGAAATGATTCGACATTATGTTTTGAATACTGTTTATAGAGATGTGTCAACTAACTGTCTTTAGTAAAATTTAAAACAGTACTTAAGACTTGAATAATATATAACATTGCTTTTTCATCTGAATAAATACTACAAGAGCTTTTAATAGTAATGATGTATGAGTAGGTTTATAACGAGAAGCAAAATCAATCTAAATTAAATGCTTTTAGCGTGTTCATATAAAATAGAATATTCATTAGTTTACTTTATGTAACACTCACATACGTTTTACGATTGAAATATTTATGTAGAGTGTTATTCTGATAATAACGGGTGTACATAGTAAGACAGTAGAAAATAAATTCTCTTGAATTGATTGAATGAGCTTTACTGTCTTAGACAAATTTACCCGCCAAGTTTAATAATGAAATATTTACATAACTAATCAACAAAGTTCAAAGGACTCAGGCGCTAAAATAACTAACGTAAATAAATAGAAAAGAACAATATGGAAACACTTATTTATTTATTTGTACATATGCGCATGAAACGTCGATAAAGATATTTTCATGATTTACGTCACTGACTGGATGAGAACAAAAAGTGTTTTTTTTAGTATTTATTTAATAAAGATCAGTCCATGATGTAAACTGTGACGTATAATAGTAAATCAAGCTCACATAGGTTTTTATACGTCTAGATCACTTGAATCTTTAAATTAACCATTTAGGTAGACAAAGTGATACTTTAGGTCATGATGATTCGCCAGTATTTCTAAATACATCTCCACGGGTCGAATTAGTATATGTTAGCTTAGGCGTTTGTTTATCTTACCAGTTTAGGTGATAATGTTTAATTGTTTGATAATTTCATTCACATACACTATAATTGTCTGCTAAATAATATAGATTTGCTCTGTTCACCGTGTTCTGGTCGTATCGTTTTGTGTTGAAAGTCGGAATAAACTTTCTTAACCTAAGACTTCTAAATGACGTCGATAAATTACAGGATTAGCAGTTATTTAGTTAAATAATGTACGAAGGTTAAGGCGTAAGCAACTTTTCTACTGTAGAGGTTCAACAATCCCCAAATACGGACTATCACTTGGATGTAATTAAACAAAATATATTTTGTATTAATTGGTGCACTAGAAAAAACGCACAAAACATAAGTTGTAGACATACAGAGTACCAAAACAGTCATGTATACAAATAATATATATATATATATATATATATATATATATATATATATATATATATATATATATATATATATATATAGTATTAATTAGCATGTGCTGAGTAAGTGACAAGCCAATGTTGAAACATTATACCACAGCACTTATAAATCAAAAGGAATAGAAGTTTAAAATACATAAACAAAACAAATTGCAGTATTCAATGAAAAGAATTGATTGATTAATAAATAAATGATAAAAGTAGTAAAGGAATCACAATAAAATTGTTGCTAGCATACAAAATAACAAGCTATGTATAAATCTCGAATGATAATACATGTTTGGATACTATTGGTGGTTTCGTTTTTTCGAGCGAAAACACATTCATGAGAGAGAGGTATGGGAAGGGGTCGGAAACCAAAGCAAAGACATAACCAACTGGAGTTTACATGCCAAAACGCTTTCCAGTAATTAGAAAAGAAAACCGACTATATTGGACAGAAGGGATAATGGGATGCTTATCAATATTTTTAATAATAATACTAACAATGTTAGTAGGTATTAAATATTATCAACTGGGTATAGTTGAAATTCAAGTCATTTCTTGTTCTACTTCTGCTAACATTATCATTAATATTAATATTATCACCACTACTAAATTTCGGAAGGATTGCATGCGAAATCTGAATGGAGACGAGGGGGGTAGTTTACACAAATTAAATAATTAGTACCTTCGAGAGATGAGATTCTTCTACATGTTCGTATGTAGTGTACGGTACTATTAATATTATTGTAGCTGTAATTGATGGGGATGATAGTTGTGTTGGTGATATTGTCGACTGTGTTTGAGCCTTCAAAATGAATTAAAAATGGCGTTTTATTCGAAATATCACTTACATTATCAACATAGGGAAAATAGATAATAACATTGTTACATCATAAGATCTTTATTAGTGAAGCAAAGAAAAAAATCAATCAAGACAATGTTCTTTTGCCTAGGGTATACAAGTATAAACAACAATCATTAATGGTTATGAAGTAAAAAACACTCACTAAATACATGATTATAAAATTTAAACTATTCTGGAGGTGATCCATGAGCTATAGACTTATAAATATATAACAAATAACCACTTGAAAAACGAATATTTCGCTGTAACCGAAACAGAGATCAATGTTGGCTAACATTTATAATGAATAATACAAATTAATGGTGCATTAATCTTATGAAAAAGAAAACTTAAAGAATGACAAGATGGACGATACCAAAATTAAAAAACCAAAGAGTAGACAATAGACAAGAAAGTGAAAATGAACCTGTTTATGAAGATTTTTGCCGTGAACTGATATGATTTGGAGAAACAGTAAAATGTGGAGATCACAAGATAGCTGTATGGTTCCCGTTAAAAAAAACTCTGGCATCAACAACACCAAAAAGGATTAAATAGGAGACACTCAAGTCTTGTAACTGTTTCTAGACAGAAATAGGTCTACCACGTGATCTTAATCACTATTATCATTTTCTATACTGAATAACGCGTTGGTTACTACAACACTCGAATATTTTCTTCCCCGCTAGTAGCTCTCCCAAAGTTACCGCCAGTCCCAAGCCCTAGACCAGATTCAAGTACTTGGCTACTTCTAACAGGCATATCTTCAAACAATCTAAAATTACGTCATGAGAAACGATAAGTTTGGAACCAAACAGTATGTTTTCACATAGAAAAGCGTAAAATCCCAGAAACATCTTGTATTTTATACCTGAGCTTCGAGTTCAACACGTTAAATGACATTCTAGGTTTCGTTTACTCTACAATAGCAGTTCGCATTACATCAAACTGTAATTTCGTGAGGCCATCACTAGGGATGAAGATATCATGAGACGATATGGACTAACTGGAGAAAAAGAAAGAGAATGGTGACACATTTGAAAATTTACGCGCATCCAATAAAATTATTATAGATGGAATAATATTCCCTCACAAACGCATACTCAAAGCTACTTGGGTCTCACTGGATCACACTACATAGAAACAGATCGATCATATTTGCATCACTAAAAAATTCACAAGGTCAATGGAAGGTTTACTACTAACAAACTTAACGAATTCAAGATAACTCTCGACAACAGATTCCAAACCTTACAGGACCTACTGAAGAAGAAAAGAGCTACGATGGAGCATAGCTGGAAAGGGATCAAAAAAATACTGACTTCAACGTGTCAGGAGGTGCTGGGTCGCAAGAAGCATAATCGTTAGAAATGGATCTCTATCAAAATCCCAGACAAGATTCAAGAAACGAAGAACAAGAAGACAGCAATTGACAACAGTCGAACAAGAGCAGAGAAAGTCAAGGCACAAGCTGAATACATAGAAGCAAACAAGAGAATGAAGAGAAGCATTAAAGCAAACAAGCAGAAACACGTGGAAGAGATAGCAACGACAGCGGATAAAGCTGAAAGAGAAGAGAATATGAAACAACTATATGACAAGACGAAAAAACTGACAGGGAAGTATAGTAAACCAGACAGACCAGTCAAGGACCAAGAAGGCAGGACAATCACCTAGATTCAAGAATAGGGGAACCGATGGGTAGAATACTTCGAGGAGCTCTTTAATAGACTAGCTCCGTTGAAGCCACCGGACTTAGAAGCAGCACATACAGACCTTCTTATGGATGTCACTCCACCAACGATCGAAGAAATCAGGATGACCATCTGTCATAATTATCTCTTTACGACCCAGCTATTCCTATTGCTTAGTATTCTTGGACACCAATTCACTCGACAAGTCCCCGAATCAGAACACGGTTGAACAGGAAAAAATTGTATTCCAAATAACAAGGGTGAATGAAAGTAAGAAGCACGATGAGAAAAACGTTAATATATTCATAGTTTTTACATGAGAAGATTTTAGAGTGTTCTCCAAGTATAGACCAGCGCTGATCGGATAAAAATTAGCCAATCAGTGTACAGCAACGCAATCGTGCATGGAACATGCTTTAATCCGATCTATGTCCCGCCAACACCATCATACAAATCAACATTGAGAAAGCATCAGGACCTGACAATATACCGGCTGAAGCTTTGAAGTCAGACATTGAAGTAACTGCAAGCATACTCCACGTTCTATTCAGGAAGGTTTGGGAGGAAGAACAAGCGCTACTGACAGACTGGAAAGAATACTTCATCAACGTACCAAAGAAAAGAGATCTGAGCATATGTGAGAACTAGAAAGATATCACACTACTATCGGTACCAGGAAAAGTTTTCTACAGGGTGTTGCTGGACCGCATGAAAGAATCAGCAGATGCCCAACTTCGAGAACAACAGACTGGATTCCGTAAGTATCGGTCGTGCATAGACCAAATCGCAACACTACGGATCATTATTGAACAACCAGTTGAGTGAAACCCATCACTATACATCAACTTCATTGACTATGAGGTGTTTAACAGTGTGAATGGAAGGACATTATGGAAACTTCTTCCACGCTATTGAGTACCTCAGAAGATCGTCAACATTATACGGAATTCATATGACTGACTACAATGCAAAGTCGTGCATGGGGGACAACTGACAGATACATGCCAAGTAAGGACCGGAGTCAGACATGGCGAGGATTGGCAAAACAAGGGCCGCATTCCTATAAATGAAGAAGAGATGGATTTCAAAACAACTGTCTGCCAACCAATATCAAAGTCATAACCTTCAATACGAACGTCAAGACAGTTCTACTGTATGGAGCAGAAACGTGGAGAACTACTACATCATCAAAAAGGTACAAGTATTTATAAACAGTTGTCTACCCAAGATACTCCATATCCGTTAGCCAGATATCATCAGCAACAGTCTATTGTGGGAGAGAACAAACCAACTTCTAGCTGAGAAGGGAATTGGGAAAAGACGTTGAAAGTGGATAAGACATACACTACAGAAATTAACAAACCGCATCACGAGGCGAACGCTAACCTGGAATTCTGAAGGGAAACGGAAAAGAGGAAGGCCGAAGAACATACTACGTCGGAAATCGGAAGCAGACATGAAAAAGATGAATAGCAACTGGAAAGAACTGGGAAGGATTGCCCGGATAGGGTTGGATGGAGATTGCTGGTGGGCGGTCTGTGCTCCTCCGGAAGGGGTCACAAACGTACGCAAGTAAGTAAGTACACCTATCAAGTGAACAATTATCCTCAAACTATCTTCATCCCATCACTTCTTATTAACTTTCAGACTAATAAATAAACACATTCAGATATCCGACATTTTCAAACAACTTATGATACAATTCTACCGTATTTTCTAATAGACATTATATATATATATATATATATATATATATATATATATATATATATATATATATATATATATATATATATATAATTACTATTATTACTAAGATCGTACAGTTTCAGTAAGTCATTGTCAAAATGAAGAATCTCTTAGCCGAATATTCTTCATATTTCCTTTGATAACCCAATGGGTCTTATCAGTTATTTACATCTTATTCGTAAAAGTCCCAGTGATTGCAAAAATATCTAGAATAAAACTATGGAATAAAATAATGAATGGCGTTTCCCTGTACTATTTAATTGCTTACATGACACTGTAGAAGTTTGGCTGTTAACTGAATAAACTAAAACGCTCTCTTCTCGGTACTAAAGGTAAGCTCACCCTAAGTATCTTTTACGAAAGATGAAGTTGTGAACTTTCATCAAACAAGGTGGTTGTGACACGTTATACATACGCAACCACCACTCAACTCAACATGTTATACTGGATACATTATGAGTGGGTTTGAATTTGAAAAAGACTAGGAGCGGTGAAGATGCTAGCACATGCTAACACAACTCTCTGACCGAAATGTGTTGGAAGGTAAAGACTGCTCAAATAATGTTGGGGACAGTCGTAATCTATGGTTAGAGACCTACGATGATCAATGGTCTGAATCGATAACAGTTACGTACATGTGTTTAATTTCCTATTTTTCCCTGAATCTTGTATTTCAACACTATTTCTAACTTTTCATTCTTTGAATTAATTTATCTTTTTCAAAGTATATTACCTAAAGTTTCCCATTTCCTGGCTTTTAATCTTTTAAATACAATCCCATGAAATATTAGAACACTAGACTAATCTATACGTACGTCCCAAATCATATGTTGTGAATGACTGCAAAGCATTGGAATATTCTTCAAATGACACGAAATCACTCTTATATATGTAAGAAGAAGTAGAATTATCCACAACATGCTTCTTGGTATTCGATTGTATAATAATTTGAGGATTATACACTTATCAACTAAATAGATTTGAAACTAGTGGCTAAGCTATTCAAACAAACAAATAGAACACTAGGAGCTCATGACGTCTAAGCAATGGTTTTCTACCTCAGAGCACAAAAGAACCAAGAAGAAAACCTAGAAAGATCTAGGTTCGGTGAATAATGATACGGTAGAAAAAGCGTGGGTAATTGTGGGATTCCGAGTATCCTTGAGAATCACCCATTAAGGACGCAACTTTCTCAAGACTAGTACAACTTTACACAAGTAGTTCGGAGATTTCAAAATGATGATTTGAAAACATTTTTGACTAATTCCAGTGGAATTTTGGAGGACTCTAAAGAGGGTTTCTTAACACAAACACCTTTCGCAAGAATAAATTCCCAAACATCTATTAAAGTCAAAGTCTTTACTTATAAGCATGAATTATGAAAGAAAAAACACTTTATACATGAAGTCAACTGAATTCATCAAGAAACTAAACTACTATTGGATAATAGGCTTCATTCACTTCTGATAGGAAAACTAATCAGGATACTGTTTAAATTTGTCGATAGGTAGATATATTAACAGTACAATATAAAAGTCGACGTATTACACAATTTTATATCACAGTAGAAAATAAAACATAAAAAGACTGGAGCGTTTGATACATAATATGAATATGAAATCAGGAGTGATTGATTTGCAGTAAATAGTTACTACCAAAAAAGCTGTACACAAATCCACCAAATGATATAAGTAATATGTAACACTATTATTATTATTATTAATATTATTGTTATTACTAGTAGCAAGGCAATGTAAACATATGGGAAAATTAAAATATACAACTCTTACCAAATACAGGGGTGTGTATAGATTTATATTGCTTCTCCTCTGAATCCAATAACTTTACTGAACCTGAATCCAGTACACTTAAATACCGTTTAGTTGTACAATGAAATGATTGTTGTGATGAAGTAATGTATTTTTGACGTAATAATAAGGCTTTAATCAATGCTTCTGAAGCTAAATGTAAATCATCTACAGGAACCTATAATTATAAGATTTAAAAAAAGTGAATATACGTACAAACAAAAACAATTTCTGATAAACATTGGAAATAAATTGTAATTATGTGCGTACGCAAAAAAATATCATACAGTATAAATTAAGAAAACAATTCAACCAGATTGAAAGTCAGACAGCGAATTAATAATTAAACTGCATAATATTTCTGTTTTTACTAAATAAGAAAGTTACGATGGCAAAAGTTTGATTAGCATAAAATAGAAGCTTGATAAATCCATTCAAATCATGTTTTATATACATGAATTCAGAAGTTATTTGATAATATAGTCCCATGAGAGTATCATATAACTCATTTACCATATATAGATGCACGTACTCGGTTTTGAACCAAAACTTAGTTATGAAGGCTAATAAAACTACCAGGCTGCCCAAAACAAAATAGGTGAATTGGAGTGGCGTTTGAACTGAAATACTTATACTTGAATATGCAACACTGTAAGGATTTATTTATGTCACTTAATTTTCCAGACAAGCAACCTTTTAAACGGAAATTACTAAACTTGTAGAAAATACTTGAATTGTAGAGGAAAGAACACTGTACATTGTCCATTATTGTCAACAACAAAAAAAAACAATTTATAAAACTAGCCACCATAAGTGTAATATAATTTTATTAGGTTGTCAAATGTTAGCCAAAAAGAAAATAAAAATAATCCGTGACAAGTTGTACAAATCCATGAGAAAAAACACATCATAAAATCAAGTTGCAATAATCAGTGGTATTGTGGGTGATATAAATGTGTTAAGTAAATCACTAACTAAAAATACGATTGTCAACATAGTATTTTGTGATAACAAAGAAATAATTCGTTGTATAATTTGTTTATACTAACGAAATAGAATCTAAGGGAAACCCATAATTATAACATTCATAGTCTCGATTAAAACTTCATCACTTTCCAAATTATAAAATAATATACCTGGGATACTGATTATAAATGAGTTAAGTTATTCAAATAGCCAAAATAACATTTCAAACAGCATTAAAACGATCGTCTATCGAGTAGATGGTAAATGAAATTTATAATTATAAGGAATAGGTAATGTGGTGTTACATAGATTAGTAGTTTATATTTTACAAAGTGATACATGCATAGTCAAAGTCAAATAAACGGAAACCAACCAGCGAATGAGAAACAAAAGTAACCATGCACTTAAACACTCAAAACTGTAAACCAGCCGAGGTAGTTAAGTCACATATATTAAGTTATAGGTTACCACAATATGAGACGTTAAGTATTAGCATGTAGTATTCGTTTTCCAAAGTCACCAATTACCATCCCGAATCTCATAAAATAGCTATTACTATTTATTTAAATATTAAACCCATAGTTACTTAGGATCTCTACTGACTCATTTCTTTTAAGTAAATGCTTTACTCAGTTGAATTCCATTTTTGTGTTATTGAATAGCGTAGTAACGTGAGACTTTTGCTCAAGTTTTATTTCATTATTAATATATAATCCATTATGCACCGTAAACGATATAAATTAAACGAACATAAATTGTCTGTAAAAACCCAACTTATGCACAAAAAAGGATGGGAATAGGATTAAAAAATGAGCCATAGACACTTAATTTTAATTTCTTTAAGTCTTCATCTAGCTTCAAAATTGATCATGAACTAATATGATGCATGTCAGATGCACTGAGAATTACAAACATGGCAATCTGACAGCAATGTATATATGAAATAACAACAAACATGCATAGTTTTCACGTGACTACGTATCTCATTGTGTAATTGGTTATCTAATACAAAATGTTACCAATCAGTGCGATAATCCCTTCAAACATTAAAATGGTCATCAAACTGTGAAGAACATATACAAACAAACGAAGAAAACTGATCACAATTAAAACAATTTTTTGGTATAAAAATGAGCTTATTTCACAAGGCTTTAGAAGGATGAACATATTTGTGAAAACAAACATCAGGCTAGAAAAATGAACCCTTTCAAGTTACTAGACGAATTCGTCTACATCAATTTGTTTTTGATATGATGGGAAATAAATTAACCCTAACAGTCAAATATTGGTTCACTGGAGAGTGGGTAAACTATAAAAATGATATCCTCTAAACGCTTACGGCAAATAACCATGCTTATTTTTGCCTAACCATTTGTATATAAACACACTATTAAACAAAAAATCTTTCTTTCTGGCTAGTAGTTTTGTCTACGTTTAATATTATTTCGTTCGGGAGTTTGAGTCAATAATCAGGTCTTGTAGACTGTCACATAGTGCCATTCCATTTCATTTATTGATTGGCACTCTATCTATTTGTTTTAACAATTCCAAACTTCGTTCATTTATTAAAACTACTTGGATCTAAGAGTAATGTTTTAGTCTACAACATTTATTGGAAAAATTTCATCAAGACTAGTCAAAAAGAAAACAGAATTAGTAAACAAAATAGCAAAGTCCAAGAAAGAATTTTAATGCGACAACAATATATATTTGTTGTTAGATCACTTCACAAAAAAACATGATCCTGAGAAAACAAGAACATGCTATGACCAGAGTTTCATTATTTGTAACACAGATAAAATGTTAAACCCTTAAATGGCAGTTCTTTACATCCACAAATAATGAAACAGACTAACCAAGTATATATTGTTGCACTAGTTTTTTTGCAATACCTTATATGAAGGATAGAAATTTCATGGGTAAAGAGAAGGACGAAAAAATGAAAACTGACCGCGTGTTCAGTGTTTATAGAAAAAACAAAGGCAATGGAGCCATGTTACTATGAACGACCTCCAATTATGTCGCCTAAAATCTATAACCATTTATTTTTCTCACCTTCGCAAATTACTTGTTTTATTTACGATTCGACCAGTTCTCGATCCTAATAACTTGATTCTGCAATTAAGACGAACGATTTTGTACACTAGAAGACGCCGCAACTATTTAAAGTAATAGTAGGGTACTCTGATTATTATGCGAGAATAAATTATTACGGATACAGTCCTATCCAGTTAACACCAGAAATTTAATCCAATACGAATAACTGGTTCCGTGAAGCCACATCAAGAAGACAAAACAACCAGGAACAAAAATTTCAATAGCTTATGGTCTCAACAACCAACAGCATTTTTTAACCTTTGATGTCTTAGAGTTGAGAAACTAGTCTCTAAAAAAATCATCTAACAGAATCAATTATTACTATTGTAGTTGCATTGGATACTGAATTAAAAATGTTCGAGAACGACATAACATAAACCGATAGTGATATCAGATATTTTGGCTATTGACTTGTATTACTTCAAGTTACTTCATTGCCATGTGGATTAAACCCCCAGACCAAAGGCTCGGGGAGTGACCTCGTAAGAAAACCACCTTCGTCGATCAGGAAAGCCAAGCAGTATCCCAGCCTTTTCACAAATATGACAATGAATACTTATGGAGAAACCGACTCGCATGTTCAGGTTCACCGTTAACTGAAAAGATAATTATTACTCATTTACCTTAGATTTTGTTTTATCATGCTCTATTTTTCTATTATGTTCTGCTGCCATCTTTTATTTATTTCTGTTTTACAACTCACACTGCAGATTGTCTAGGGAGGAAATTTGTCCTTCTCAAACGAATTCAAGAAAATGACTTGTAGAAATTTTAAATGCTATCACCGAATACAGATTATGAACCACCATTTCCGAAAACTCACCCATTCAGTCAGTCATTCAAACTGGCCTCTTTTAACGTTCCCACACGAATATAAATTGGACAACAGGTAGCTTGGCGATGTCTGTGGAAAATCTTAATATCAACGTTAGTTGTCTATCTGAGGTCTATATTTAGGACTCTATCAAAATTTAAGAAATTCGATCTCTATCTGTAGATTCAAAAAAATTTGTTTTACACGTGCCTACCAGAGGACTCTACGGGATCTTCCCTTGGTTTAGCTGGAGGTGTTGCACTGAACACCATAGCACAACAGAAGCAGCATTAATCGATTGGATCCCTAATAACAGTCGCTTTTGTGTCGCTAGATAAAAAGGCTCTAGCACATTGACAAGAAGTCGAAGTAAAATAACAATACGCTGTCGTTATCTCCGCCTACCCCAAGACGTATTGCAGTCCGCATACAATCAAGGATTAATCTTACAACCACTTACGTGATCTCAAAAAAAGCGCACTCGACACATTTTAGTGCTAGTCAGAAGTTCAAACCCACAGATCGAATGTCTAGGTGCAGAGCAGTCTCTTTGGTGGTCGAGAGAGGCTTGCCGGTCTCCGGTCAATTAATGGTGACCGTCTCCAGCAGCTTTGCACAGACAAAAACCTGTCACTGGTCAGCACCGAATTTCGGAAGTCGTCGACGATGTACTCCCTAGCATTTTCACTTTTTAACTCAACCATGAACTTAGATCAATCACATCGTGATCGGCTACAACGGGCATGGTTATGTACAAGACCACCGTTCATTCTGGCGTACCTATCTGGACTCTGGTCATGGTTTGGTTAGCGCTACCGCTATCTTTCGTTTAAGTGCTCAGAAAACTCATCGTCATAAAGTGATTGATATAAGCGAGTCGACTGTAGCTCCGGTCGCAACCAAATACCAGACGGAGTTAGACTCAAGACTAGTAGTCAGTCTCTTTTTTGGCTCCACCGAACGTCCCTCTTATATGCACTGGGCTTCTACTGGCTCCCTACAACTATTTAAGGCACCCGAGTCTAATTCAGTTAGCCGCGAATCTGATAGCGAACATATCTATTAACTGTCAGAGGCACTTTTAATTCAACTTAGCCACTGACAGTAACTCTGGATTTGTGAAAAAGGATTTGTGAAGCCGACAAAACACCAGTAACAGTTAACGACGACTCGGACAATGGACAGAGTTCTTCCAAAACCAGTTCAATTGGTCTGGTGTCTTTCCAATATCGATCAGACTGTTTTGTCATCCATAGCCGGTGACGACCCGCTTAAAAAGCGGGATGTCCGCAAGGAACTCCAAATTTTGAAGCATGATGACTTACTAGGCCCAGAAGACTAACTCCAACCCTTTCAAAGGTGGAAGACCTTTTGTTGGCGAACTAACCGGTTTGGTCGAAAACGTTTCACAAACATGGAGTGCCTCAACATCCTGAAGTCAAGCGACCGCCATCCCGATCTTCAAAAGGGAATCGCATCATGCAACAACTATCGGGAAATAAGTTTACTTCTGATTGAGTCCAAACTACTGGTTTCCGTCACGCTTCGAAGATCACTTAAAACCCGTGGAAGAGCGACCTGCGAGAATCGGGCAGTAGGATTAAATAGGGATGCCCAATCTCACCATTACTTTCATCTTTGTCATTGACAGCATTCTGGAAACAGCTCTCAGAAAAGTAAGTAGTGGTGGTGTGGGTCTTTCATCTGGAGGAGGACTTTCAATCATGATTATGCCAATGATGCTGTCGTACTGTGCAATGATAATCAAACTGTACAAACTAAACCCACTTATTTGCAAATCAATGTCCGTAGGTATGGCATGTACTTTACATTTAAACCCAAAGCACTTTTGCAAGGCTGAAACAAATCTGTATTTGAACTAGTCCTGATTTTGGTCTGGCTGTATAAAGTTGGGTTTACAACACGTTGGTGAGAGTAATTCGACTCCATGCTTCGGAAACCCGGCCTCCTCATGTTGTGGATATTCGATGACTGTGATTGATCATCATTTTTCTCCGAAGGATTATTGATATGTAGTATCACTCTTGATGGAGAAACTCTGGAAGATGTAGAGTCCTTCACATACCTAGGAAGCATCATCGATGAACAAGGAGGTTCAGATGCAGACGTAAAGGCGAGGATCGGCAAAGCAAGGGTCGCATTCCTACAATTGAAGAACATATGGAACTCAAAACAACTTTCAACCAATATCAAAGTGAGAATCTTCAATACGAACGTCAAGGCAGTTCTACTGTATGGAGCTGAAACTTGGAGAACTACAACAACCACAATCAAGAAAGTACAAGTATTTATAAATAGCTGTCTACGCAAGATACTCAACATCCATTGGCCGGATACCATCAGCAATAGCCTTCTGTGGGAGAGAACAAACCAACTTCCAGCTGAAGAAGAAATTAGGAAAAGACGATGGAAATGGATAGGACATACATTACACAAATCGTCAAACTGCATCACGAGGCAAGCCCTAACTTGGAATCCTGAAGGGAAGCGTAAAAGAGGAAGGCCAAAGAACACATTACGTCGGATAATAGAAGCAGATATGAAAACGATGAATTACAACTGGAAGGAGCTAGAAAGGATTGCCCAGGACAGGGTTGGATGGAGAATGCTGGTGAGCGGCCTATGCTCCTTCACGAGGAGTAACAGGCGTAAGTAAGTAAGTAATACTATGTTAGAAATGCAGAGGTTCGACAACATCTGTTCTGGCTCGGTGACGATCATCTAGATGGTGTCAACACTTTGAAAAACTACCTTAGGTGGCATGGATATGTACTAATAATGTAGTCCAAGCGAATTCTACATCCCGTTTTGTTTGCCCAATCCATAATCGGTTATAAAGAGTGGTCAGTTTGTGGCACGGTGAAGTGTGATGAAAGAAAGCTGTATAGGATTGGGATCTGTCAATGAACCATGACTGCCTGGTTAGTGTTCGATAGACAGTGTAACTCAGTGGCCCGATACGTCATCAGATATGGCTCAGAACAGAAACCAATGGAGATCGTGACATAATTTCCCTTGACTTTATAAGAAATAAAAGGAATTCCCTTAACTGAGAGAATTCTTTTTGGTTGCATTTTATCTGAACTGTTCCCCACATTATACATTACCCTTGTAAGCTTATTTTCATTCATTTCACCATTTTTTGATCATAATGGCTTTCCTTTGTTTATTTTTTCACAATCTTATCCAACTATTTATGTGGTGAATATTTATTTTTATCCCATACCTGTACGAATATTTATGTGATCGAATAAATTAGTTAATTTAATTAATAAGAACTTCAGTTTTATTAAAAACAAACTTATTCCCATTTAAGATTATTATTTTGTTAGTAAGATCTGTTCATCAGTTTAAAAAAATACGAGAAACTTTCATTTTAATCAGCAGTTAGAGTCTGGTGTGGAAAAAAGTGCTACAATCACACACTGATTTTAGTCACTCAGAGAAATCTATTGGACAAGTGCAAAACACTAACTGAGTATACTATTTTTAGTGATATTCATGTGTAAAATATCATTATAGTGTACACATATTAAAATAAAAATTACTAGATGGATTGATGGTACCTGTGACAGGGCGAAAATCCCAGCAGTATGTGGATGAATCGAAGGAAGCTAATTTGGAATAGATGTGTAAAAAACTTAATGAAGATTGGTCGGATTTCGGAATGCTTAATCTTCTCAAAAAAAAAGAAGAATTATTCTGAAAATTTATAAAACTAACCTATTAGGGAATAAATAAAATCCCACTAGATGAACCCATACAAAATACTTTTAATCATATGATTTTCAGTGGTCAAACTTGAAAAACAGTTTGTGAATGTTATCAGAAGGGGTTTTTATGGATATTATAGTAACTTAATAATTGAGTTCATGAGTCGATTGAAGCTAGACCATCATGGAGAACCTGGAAGCACTAGACGGCCGTTTTGTCATAGTATGTGTCTCCTCAACAGTGCGCAAACACGATCTCGCCCGCGGGATTCGAACCCAGGACCTATCGGTCTCTCTCGCGATCGCTTAACCTCTATACCACTGAGCCGGCACCCAACGGTGTTAATGTCTAAGTTCAACCAATCCACAATATTGCGACACCGTCCACCATTGTCTTCAGCGAGTTACTACCTCACAACAGACCCGGTGAATGGTTTGAAATTTATTCCTAATACTCGAGTCTCAGTAACCAGTTAGTATTATTACTCTTAACACAATGGATACAGTTCATGGAGTAAAGCATACACCAATACATAATGCCCGAGTTTATAATTATTTACAATCATATTTTGAATAGAAGTCATTTCTTATTAATTTGGTTATTACAATTAGTAGTCTTCAATTATACAACAGAGTGACAATCTAAATAATCAATATTGGATTAGGATTAAAACCTATCAAAACAACATCACAGTATTGGTAATAAAAAAACCACAATTCGTACTAGCTTCAGAAAATTGATGATAAAGTACTAATTCATTTTAATAAAAGTTGATAAATAACATGATAACTAAATAAGACGTAAAGAGCCATGTGTGGTCCATATAATACATAAGTAGTAGTGTGTTGAGCCGACTGACACTAATATAAGTTAGTTACGGAGCGGTTTGCTCCCCCTCGTGAAAATTTGAAGCTTATTTAAAGCATGATGTAAACTAAGAGCAACAAAATAATCAAGAAAAATCGACCATACTTCCGTATGAAAATCAGAGAAAATTGTTGAATAAGGTTTATATGGTGGGGGATGTTTGATTAACGAGGGATAAGTGAGAAAGAATCATCATTTTCCACTATTATGCCCAATTTACAAATACTAGGGATATATATATATAATCCACTAATAAACGCGAGATTTCCAGTAATAGACTGTACCATTTATTGAAAAATGGGTATTCTGTACACTGGAAATATATTAAAATAAGAATCATAATGAAAAGGTATAACAACCTGATTGCCAGCTGATTATTCAGTATTATCGTTTTATCTGTAAAACAAACCATTACTCATACTTGTATTCCAACCGACTAAATTACTGAAATTTTCATTAAATATGTTCAGAAAGAGTTTGTACCTGGTCAGTCAGTTACAGAGCAAAACCTGGTAGGAATGTACATCAATTCAAGTTGCCATAACTCTTTTTTGCATCTGGAGCATATATCTCTTTAGCGTGGTTGAAATAGAGTGAAATATGATGCTACCTCAGGTAATAATAGTAAAATTAAGCGCTTGATTTCCAGCTTGGCCAAAATTATTAGAGCAGTTTAAGAAACATTTTGCTTGTTTGGTAAAAATGAGCGATCCTTAGAACTGATGTAAAACGTTTACATCACGAACTGATCCTTTATATTAATAACAATCAAGCACTCTTCGATGACAAATTTTGAAGTAATTTCAGGAGTACTAATGACAAACCATTGTCAGTGGATTTCAACTATGTAGGATGCAAGGCAGTCACTCATCAACAACAGTGGAAGATGGTTGTTGGAAATCACGAATTGATTAAGGTTTGAAATGTAAACCTCCGAATACAAACTCAGTGATTTAAAAGTTAGGCACTCACTACCATACTTGAAGGCCTTGATTTTGATATCCGGAGGGATTACGTATGTCCTCCACTGAGAAGTTCCATACTAGGACCAAGAGCTGTCTAATACTTCCCAGTTTCCAGAGACTACCTAAGGTCATTTTGAAATGTGGACTACGAGAATTTTATAGCATCTGCCTACACAATGAAGGAACATGTGACTAGATGTGTACTGAAACAATCATATAACCTCAAATCTTGGCATTTAATATGACAGATCAGGTCAGAAAACCTAAGAAGTTACACATGAAAAGATTACGGCTTTGTTGTACATCATGAAGACTATAAAAATTTGGTATTTAACGTCCACTCTAAATAGGTAAATATATATTCATATGAATACTAGTTTGTGATAAGACAAACACTCAGAAATTAGCTTGCCAATAAAGACATCCGGAAAACCAAGCTCTTGATACCATTTAAAAGTGACAGTAAATAAGTATAAGCGTAATCCAGTCAGCATTTGTTGGTTCGTTTAACGTAATTCTTACGATTTTGCCTCAAAGATCACATAAAAAGTGAGTTCAAACATTTGGCATAATGGTATCGTGTTTATTTCTGAAGCGATACCAGTATAATTTTAAATAACCAAGTGTAAATCAGGGTTTGGCAAACTTACACCAAGAGTATCATCCCCGCAGATTTGAACACGTTGAAATTCCACAGCTGCTGACTCTATGTGTGCTTCAGCCGCTTCTTCTACTTCTTGGAGAACAGGAACTACATCTGTGAATACGCCTGGATTTGGCGCAGGTGCTAAATATATTGGGAATCCATCGTTATTTGTACTAGGGATGCTGTATAATCTTCGGAATAAAGAACCTCCACAGTTCTGCTCATTTTGAAACTGAATACTGTTTTGAGTAAGCCTAGGTTGCATCCGGTTACCAGATTCCAAAGACGTATTCACGTCTGAAGTAGCAGATTGGCTAGAGTGAAGATTTGGTTCATCAGATGATGTTTCAGGGAGTACGGATAAAGAGTTGGAAGAATCTTTGTTAAATATATTCTTTTTGCTAAATAACACAGATCCATGATCGTTTGTTATGCTTTCAACAGAATTGCAGTCATCTAAACTAATAGCTTTACAGGTAGCTGAAGGATTCGAAATGGTAAGATCATGGTTTTCTTCATTAACGAGAAGTTTAGAATCATTGTCTGCCACACTTAATGCTCTGAAACAAAGATAGTTAGGACAACAATTAGACATAACTTGTTACAGAGGGGATGAATAAATCGACTAGAGATGAGAACTAGTGATAATAAAAACACACAAGAAATAACCATCACCTCACTAGAAAACTCCATTATATTTCAGTTTACACTCCAGAATTATGAAAGCAATTTTGTTTTGATGGAGTACACAAGATACAAAAAATTACTCTGAAGCATTGTGAAATTTTAATTAGTTTCCTAAAATAAGCAAGAGAAGCGAATGAAATTTAGCAAAGTGGGTAGGAGGAATGGAATATTTATTGATTCATTTAAACCAGATAAACATCATATATAAAGCGCTGAACAGATATCTGCCACCGACTATTTCTTTGCAATGAATTCATTTGAAAAACACCTGGATCTATTACAGGATTTACAACTTGAGATTAAGGTTGAAAATCTAAATCCCCCTCAAAATAGTTAAGAAACAATTCTCTAGAAAACTGAAGAGTACCACAATGTAAGTCGTGAATTTGAAGGGTTCGAAATGCATTTGACAACTTGTATACAAAGAAAATGGAAATAAACGACAAAGAGATAATGTGATTTGCTTGGAGTAACAGTTGCATTTCGGGATAACTTTGCTACCACTAAACAGTCACATATTTCAGCATTTTTTCCAACCACCACTTATTTAAGCTTTTCCCATATATCTAGATAACAATGAAAATGCGCGTTGACTTACCGGGCCAGTTTTAATTCCAAGATATGGTCTTCCATCTCTTTCCTCTCAATCGGAAATTTCGGCATCACATATTCCGGACCCGTTTCCTTGAAGAGAGGATACGCACCCTCACGACCACGTTGCTTAATATTTTCAGCTATTTCATTGATTTTATGATCCATGTGGGGACTGTCCGATTGTGAACTGAAGTAGGATCCATGAAGAAATAAAAATTGATGATTAGTAATCATGAAACAAAGCGAACCACTTTTATCTTACTACAACTTTACTGAAAATAGAAATACATAAATGTCACTGAATTACGAAGTACATGATTACGTACCCTGTTTGGAGCTACAATGAGTAAGGGTTAGTGATACTAACTGATCTCTCAGTCAGTCAGCTGCAACGTAGGATCAGGCGCACACATGTATCGGTCCAAGTTGTTACACATTAGTACAACAAGATGAACATCAAATTCATGGAACCATTTAGTTCGATGGTAGTAAAAAAGATTCCATATAAAGATATGATACAGGAAGAAAGAATTACTTCGTAGAAAGAAAGGTATAAAGTCATTTTAACCTCAGTTTAAAGGAAGACAAAGAATGTACACACCACCATTGTGATCGATTCTGATCTCTAATACTACGGTAGGTAATCCAGAATTCGAAATTGCGACCTACTGGTTGGAAGCACAGTGAAATTATATTGGAAGTTACTGAGAATTTCGATCATGTAGAGCTTCTGGTTCAGTAAATTCTTTATGTGGTTACTATGTTGAAGGTATTACTTATGAAGTGCACTAACCAAGCCTCAAACGGAATACGACAAAGTACTCTTGCCTTTCTAGAAAAATTAATTTCAGAAATAAAACAAAATCTCAACATCGCAGTAATTTCAATAACCAATAGATTATCTGAGCCAATTAACGTAAAGGAAAGAACACGCAATGATATGTAGTTATTTTTTCATAGATTTAATACTGCAGTGTCACTTTGTGTTTGTACCGTTTGACGTTTCTAAGCTGATATCTAGTGGTTTTTCAAATTTGACCACAAATACAGTTCATTTTAATTATATGACAGTACAATAAACTTTAAGGTCACGTAATCCTTGTTAGGTGTTTCCTTTTTTACTTGAGCACAAAATCTGGCACAAAATGGTAAGAAAATAACTTCACTCAATCAATAGATTTTGGTGAGGCTTTGCATTGATTATGAGTGATTAACTTATTAGCGATGTCATATTAATTCAATGGTCTTTGAAAATCAGACAGATGTAAAGAACAGGAAACTGAATACAACTGAGCTGCTCAGAATGATTTTCCGCCATGTCACTTGATTCCCCCAACCAAACTGCTCTAGGTGAGGATTTATTTAAGCCCAAAAGTAATCGACAAATTTAGGAGTGTGTTCAATGTTCAGCCACATTGAATACGAGAGTTTTACCTCCATTCCTACACTGCACAAGCTAGAGTGGCTAAACTAGTGATAAGTACAATTGGTCTTTACCTACTTCATAGAGTGATGTTTTTTGGTTTGAAAGTAAATCGCCCGTGACCGAACGCGCTAAGCTCATGAAGTCACCGTCCATTTGAGAAGTATGAACATTTATAGACTTTGTGGCTGTCATCCATGGAGCAGAAAAGGCAAGCAGTTAGAAAACTCAAATGATGACTCTTAAGTCGACTACAAAGAAATAATATTAGTTGCTTTTATCATCCTGAATAAGTACTACATTATTGTGTTGCTTTGCTTTATTCTGCATCTGCTGTCTGTCATTATTTTAGTTTTCCAAAAAATTCATGATAATCCTGACTGATAAGACAACGCTAAAGAAAAGCACACCCACAAAATTTAAAACATTTATATTTACAATAGGTCAAATTTTGACATACAAATCACATGCATGAAATATGACGTAATGGTGATGCATTAAACACTAACGGTATTATTTTCAAAGGGAACATCTTAGTACCAGCTGTTTTTATAGAAACAGTTTTGTATTCGCCAATATTTGGGTCGCCTTTCACTGTTTTTTCTTGAAACATGCACCCAGTTCAGACCCTTAAATGCGATGGCACTTGAAATGCTTGAGGTCATCTACTGTAACTAGGTGTTTTGAAACTAACAGTCTACTGAAATGAATTCATACAACAATGTGGAGCTGGAAAAAGTAAACGACCGTGAAACTAGTGAAACCATGTTATTTACGACGCTTATTAACAGAAACCTACCGTAGTGAAAATTAACAAAATTCATAAAACAACTCAAAATCGAACACCGTACTTTACCGAAATTGAGTCGTTTCATATTTGATTGATGGGAAGTGTACACTTCGAACTCCAAGTAAAGTCGAAAGAATTCAAAAAGTACCTCAAGGACATTTTCCGGATAAAAACCGCTTAGATATTACACGCCATAAAACTGAGAAAAGGTTATGTAGGGATTTTAGAGCTTGAAATAGTGGTGAAACTGTAATTTATAGACGACCTCTGAGCGACGCCAGATTGACCTAGAGGGTGTCCACCTAATAATCAGGACCAAATGAGGGTTATAAACCTGTGTGAGGAATTAGAGTTATGATTTACAGTTTGTGATTACGGCTAGAAATCACGAACTGACACCAGCTAAAATGCCAAAACTCGCTTTATCCGAATGAATGAGTGTATTTCGCGCCAAAATCCGAGACCTGTCATCTTATACATGATTGATTCGTCCATAAAAAATCACTGTCACTTGAAAGAAAAAACTCTGCATCCCCTCATGGAAATCACCTACTGAAAAGTTCAGTTTCCCGAAACTCAACTCTGCTTATTGAGTAGCGCTTAAAACCACAAAAACAAAGCCGAAACTTCTCTAAAGATATTCTCAACTATAATATGTAAATTATAAGTTGCAAAGTTTTAGAGACTTAAGTCACTAATCAGTGAATAGTCAACTCATTATTAGGTCTCCAAACGGACGTAAAGTAAGAGCAACCCCCAATAATATACACAGAAAATCTTTAGACCTCATTGATGTTGCAATATTAACTGCTAACAGTAAATTCTGAACACGTTCATGATTATAATCATGCGCTCCCAAGCATAACCACGTCGTAACACGTTCAAAACATTAAACCATCAACCTCTTATTTTAACTGTTACATTTTTACTAATGTCACGTTGATGTTATTTCTGAATGTCGTCAATTGCTTCGTCATTGAATTTAAGCTTACACTGGTGCATTTATTGTGCTTACTTAGTCGTCAGCTAACATTTTCCCTTGTTCTTTTCTCTTAAAGATATCATCACACACTGAAATCAACACTCTCTCAGAACACAAGGTACATTCAGGTAAAACGAAAACCTACGTTACAACCTACGAAACCAAAATACGCGAGTAAGCGAGCTCCTTGAGCCACAACCTTGAGAAGATGAATGAAAGTAGAAAGAATAAACAATTTGAACTTAGTATTCAGCAGATCAAGAATGACTTGATCTTTACGAAGTTCCATATCTGAGTAAATAACTGAAGCATCAGAAGCTTTTGTCAGATCCTTTTCTTGAACTGTCATTGGAACTGAGGGTATTAGCTTTATCCAAGCTCTCAACCTGGATCATTTACCTTCAAACGCGTTTTCTGTATCGTTTCAGCAGTAGAAAATGGTCTGTATAAAATAAAGCTGTATCGAAGAGAGATTCTGAACGCTACGCGTGGGACGGCAATAATTTATTGTTGTACTTACACCATCTGAAATGGAAACCAAGGAGAATTGGGAACAACTGGGTGACATTGGATTATCATACCTCTCAAAATTCAAAAAGTTCGGTCTTTTTCAACTTCGGAAGTTTATCTGCATCTTTTTAGATTGAAAAAATAGTTTAAAGAGAGATTTGTCTGCTTGGACTAGAAGGTCGGATACAAAACGTTAGAGAAATCCTCCAGCTACTGAATTTTCCAGTCCCAGCAATAGTTGGAATGGTAGTAGTAGTAGTAGTAGTAGTAGTAGTAGCAGTAGTGGCAAGCGTGAGGGTGAACGTCCGGATAACTTGTATTGATATCGCATCTTCTTTTAAATTACTATAGCTTGCGGTCAAGGAGAATACGCAATGCAATTGTAGCGTAAATAGAACTCTATAATAATAGTAATGTTATTCTGTAGTGTGGCATCAAGCCGCGTTTGACTATGAACACCACAACAAGAAGATTGAGTACCAGAACAGGCTAAATCTTCGAGTAAACCACAAATCAGAAAACGACTGAAGGTTGTAGCGAGATATATTTGTTGGCGATCTCGTGGTATCGAAATAATATCGAGATCGTGCCAAAGGATTACAAGCGGAACTACTGAGCAAACGCAAGTTCGTGCAAGGTCACAATCAACGGAAGGAAGGACGTCTTTAGTACGGTTAAACAAAAAAGTACAATAAAGCAATCATTGGTACAACTGGTTATAATAATAATTGTTTCCATTACATCAATCGCGTTCTCTTGATGAAAGTGGGTCACTGCAGGAGCCCCCCGCTAGAAAGCGTCTGCACTTTCGATACGTTGCAGTTTCGTTCGTGGGACTGATCGGCAAACGTGCGATTGTAGGACGAAGGTGTTGGCAGAGCATGAGGCGATCTCTGATCCTCGAGTTACCACCAAAGGTGTTTTACGTAGAACGGTACCAGGAATTAGCGTACCACACCAGATTGTTTTGTATCCAGGATCTGAGGATTGCATTCGTAGGGGCGCGGACCAGGAAACGCTGCCGACGTATGACGGAATCACATTGAGCCAAGGATTCAGAAGCGATCATAATAACCAATTGCAAGACCAAACATATGCCAGACAGATTTGGAACAGAAATATCGACTGAGTGCGTTGACAAGAGCCTTGTATCCATCATGGCGGAGCGGACTCCTAAGTTATTTAAGATTAAGACTTTCGCCTATCTCGTTTCGGCCGATGCCATTTTGACCCGACAATATCGAAGGCTACTCAGAAGCTGACTTCCATGAACAAGGAGTGACAGAGCAACGTGCATGTTTTCTCTCAGCAGTGAAAGCACTACCATGAAATTCCAGCTGGTACGTCCCACCTAGTATGTGGGATGTGATGTCTCGAAACATTACGAAACTCTAGGAAAGGCTATGCTTAAGCGTGTAAATTTAACCAGTCAACAACGGTTAAACCGACTCTTCAACTACTTTGATCTAAAACATGGCTTAGCAACAGACATGTTGCTACGAATGAGGGAGGATATTGGTCAACGGACCTTTGATGAAGCACTGTCTAGAAAGCATTTCTTGTCTAAGCTTCCCGAACAGGTGTAGTCAGTGCTTCTTCATTCCAAAACAACGGTGCAGGTGAGTTGGCTGCATCTTTCGCTCGAATACTGGAGATCACCAGAACTTCGAACACCGAGGTTTATTTAGTGAAAGAAAAACTTCGAACGACACGATATGATGTCACAGACCGTTTGCACACATTAACTCATCGCGATATTCATCGTAATCGTCGTAGCTATCAAACTTCTTGGAGATGCTCATCACAACGGAGATCTGTTTCAAAACCACGAAGGACATATAATCCCTAATGATGCTGGTACCTCCAAAAATTGAGTAAAACCGTGTAACTTCTCGAGCTCCAAACGACTCGACAGTCAGAAACGTTTGCGGAACTCTCTCACGGCCACGCGTTAATGGTAACCGCATCCGCAAACTCAGACGTCTGTTATACATCACTGATGAGATGACAGATTTCTATACCTATTAGACACTGTCTCAGAAATAAGCCTTCTTCCTAAAAACCCTGGCAACCGTCTATATGACCCGGTTTTCAACTTACAGGCGTAAATAGGAAACCGGCTTCCTCATATGTTAAGCGATACGTTGATCTCAAGGTGAATTTGCGCGAACTCATCCACTGAATCTTTGTTGTAATAGATAATTCTATGGCAATCATTGATGTAGACCCGCTGAAACATATTGATATAAACAAACGGAGACTCGTTGATGGAACTATCAAATCATCTGTTTATATAACTTTCTTTTCTGTCTGAAGATTATTCCCAGTCACTGTAACGACCAAACAATTCTATCTACAGATACTTGTTAAGCTTCGCGAATTGTACCAAACGCGACCAAAATTACTGTGCTTAACCAGCAATGTTGCGCACCTCACCGCGACTACAAGAACACCATTACAATCGAAGGCTCACCGACTAGCTCCCGAAAACCTGAGGTTGACCTAAAACGAGTTCGATCACATGGTAGACTTGAGAACTATTTGGCCATCGAACAACACATGGACATCTGCCCTGCACATGGCCCTGAAAAAAGACAGCAATAGTTGGCATTCACTTGGTGACTACCTAAGATTGAATGCGAAATCCACTCCGCACACTCACGATTTGACAACTGCCTTAAAAATTACATCTGTATTTTTTCGCAAATCAGTTTGGTTAAGGTGTATAATCTCGTTCCCGTGGCTGCTGGTGGCACATTATTGATGATCAAGGCATTCGCCCTCTAAAAAGCGAAACCGTGGCCGCTTTGGATTATCTAGATCCGACTGCAGTCAAGTAGTTACGTACGACCAACTGCCTGGTAAGTTTATATCGATAGTTCACATCGAAATACGCGTTTCTGATTAGACCTCTGAACGATCAACTTCGTGGGAATGAGAAACTCCTCAATTAGGACGATGGCATTACTGGGCTCACTCTACAGTTAAGAAACTTACCTCGAAAGCAACTGTGCTCATTAGTATCTCTATAGATGCATCGGACCCGGCAATCGGAGAAGTTTTACTAAAATGGGCCAACAGCGGTTGGTGACTCTTAGCATTCTTCTTGAGA